CAGCAAGTGCCTTAAATGCAGCTAAATGAATATTTGTTGAATGTTTCAGTGTGTATAATCGGCAGGACTCATTCAAGGGTATTGGTCCTTATCTTTGGCTTTTTTCCAATTTCCCAGAATACTTAGTATGATTCTAGTTCTTAATAAATAACTTTGAACGAAATTAAAATTTTATTATTTTTAGAATTAAATTTTCTTTGGGCTACTTTAGAGAGAGGTTAGGGATAGAAGGTAAAATTATCATGACTGACTAGAAAAAAAGTCCTGTTTTCACTTGCTTATAGAAACTTGCCAGGTTTTATTGCTGCTGTTTTTCTTAAGAAAACATTTATGATTTTTTTCAAAAAATATTTGATTAATTAAAGTTTGCTATAATGTGGGTCATTTGAAATGTTAGTTATAGCTATCACATGCACTAAATGTTTCTTTGATAAACACATCTTTTCTTTGCAAAGTTTTAAATTTCTGCTTATATTTACATTTTAAACCTTACTTATGAAATTACCCATGATCCTAATTTTTTTATATTTAAAAATGACTTAGCAGAGTAGTCTAGCTAGAAGCTCAATTTCAAAACCATGGTCTTAAAATTTATTTATTTGTCTTGGTGTTCTTGTGATTTTGCATGGCAGGATATTTCATTGTATATTTATAATAGTCACATGATATTTGCTATTAGTATTGGTATTTCCATTATGGAAAGAGATCTTCAGGATATTTTTATGTGTACTTCCTCATGAACCTTGCTAATCACTGAAATACAGATTTAAAGGAGAGTAAAACATATCCCTTTGTTATTTCTATTTACTGTCTTCACTTTATTTTCTCTCCAGATTTTGATTTTCAATGCTCTTAGCTAGTTCTCTCTACCCTTTATTTTAATGTAGAGCATGGCAGTCAGGGATAGGGAAAAGAATGAGGCATCATAGTTAATTGTTAAAGGTATCTTAGAGTTGACATGTTCCAATTATTCATATTTAACTCAGTTTTAAAGTCTTTTATAAGTATTGTGATTTTTATAGTGAAAAGAGCTGTTCATTGTTATTGTTAATTACTGAAAATTCCCACATTTATGATCCTCAATACGCCAGATATTTTACATGTCTTCAATCTTCAATATTTTAATATTTAAGTCCCTATTATTTACTTTCAAAGTAATCAGGCATGTTATCTCTAAAGATGCACAAAGATACTTTGTAATTTTATAGTTCCTTTACCAGTTAACAGCACCATTCACAGTAAATGCTTTTTAGTTTTATTTAAGAAGATTAGTTTCAGAATTTGTGAATCTAAAATATTTGCTCTTTTGGAATAAACCAGTGATTTATTTAATGCTTCTTTATATTGTGTATTGTAAAGAGAAATCTTCTTGATAGATATAATGCAGGTTTTTTTGGAGACAGAGCTATTTGCCTCTCTACAAGGAATTTATTTATGTTTTCAAAAAATGCTTTCTTGTACCACTCATGCTAACTAAAGAATGAATTTAAACACAGAAGTGTCTAGTGCATTTTCCTTTCTTGACTGGGCATAGTTTTTAAATTCTGAAGTGTGCCATTAACTCATTAATAAAATGTCTCATTTCATTTTTGAGGAATTCAAGTTGGGATGCCAGCCATGTAATAGTATGTAAGAGAAATGGTAACTGGCATTAAGGCATACACTTAAGCAATAGAGGAATTTCCTTTTCAGTGTCTTCCAAGGTCCATGAGGATGCACACTTATTTATCCAGAGAGTATGGATCTCACTTATGTTTGTCCAGAGGGTGTGACTCTGTGGAGGAGAACACTAATTGGTAAGTATCAAACTCTTATTGTATTATGTTTCAGAAAAATGTTTAGAAATCAATTGATTTTTAGCAGTGATAAAGTCTCTTAGTCTGTGCTGGTTTCTTAACAGTGGACAGTCCCAGATGTTGAAGTCAGCACAACAAGAGAAAAACCCAAATCCTGATAAGACTTGAGGATTTTTCGAAACTTATATGCAAAATAGTTGGGGCAAATGTTGCTGCGGGAGTCAAGACTAAATAATACAGTAAGAAGATATGAAGTTGGAGAGCTTCTCATGTTCTTCTTTTGCATAAAGTATCCATACGTACAAAATCCAGGACTTTAATGGCTTTAAGAGGTGGCAGAATTGCATCTCTTGGAACTTAAGACAACAGACTCATGTGAACTGGAATGTACATTGTGGCCCTCACAATTTACTTTAATATTTCTTTGCAAAGTCCTTTCTGTTTCTTAATAAAAGCTGTGTCTTTTGAAACTTGTAAGTTGATGTATATTGGCCACATCAAATCTCTTAAAAGTGTTTTCCAAGTCCAAAGTTGTTAGTGTGGAACAAATGTTTGTTTTGGAAATAGTAAAACATGGGAGTATGGGAGGGTTTATTTCACAAACCAATTGCTGTTTCTGCTTATGCCTTAACATTCCTTTCTTTTTCTCCCAGTCAAGAACTCTTAAGCTCTAAAAATGACTATTGGTTGAAAAAACTTGTAAAATAAGTTTGTGCATGTGATACAGAAGTTTAGAACAACACCCTCCCCTGCCCAATCAGACACCCTAATATGTGATAGATTTTTCTGGGAATTAACCATAGCACACAAACATTTGCCATAGCAAATGCCATGGCCAGATTTCTCACACTACCCCATGAAGGCTTAGGATAGATTTTAACCATGCCTTGATACACGATGAATGGAAATGAAAGCACAGAATCTGTGGGGAAAAATCTGGCAGACAAGAGTAGTTAGAGTTGCCAGTTAGCCCACTAGCCTTCAGCAAAATACTCTGAGTCTATTTCTTCTGCTGCAGAAATATGTGTGTTATGTCCTATCATGATGCCTGGCAGTGTCCCACTGTGCTGAATCAAGGAGTCTGGATATGTGGTCTCAATCAGGGTTACAGGGATGCTGGGGTAGAAAGTGGCAGTGTGAACATGATAGAGGATTGAGAATGCGTTTCTGTGTGACTCATTTTTGCTTTGCCTTCTAATTTAGCCAATCCCTAATTTTTAGGACTCACCTCAAAATCTCTTGAAACCACCTTTTAGGAGATGTGGAAAATGTATTTGAAGGGAGAGAGCATCAAGAACAGAAAAGTGTAGGTGGAAGGATGAGAGACATTTAGTCACCCAGGGATTGCTTAAGTGATTGCTGCTGAGTGCCTGCTGTGTGCTAGGAGATGGGAGTACATGAAGCTCATGGCACAGTTGTGGGAGATAGACCATAAACAAATGAATATGTTATGTGTTGGCTGATGTTGATGAGTAAACCTGTAAAAGGGGTGGTGAGAGCTGGTGTAAGGAGATGGCTTTCAGTTTAAAGTAGGTTCATCGGGAAGGCCTCATTAAAGAAATGATATTTGAGTAGAGGCTTGAAAGAGGTCAGGGAGCCACACATATGGAAATCTGGAAAAAGGGGGAATTGAGAAAAGATCTTGTAAATCATTAAAAGGACTTTGACTTTTTCTTTGGGTAAGATGGAAAGCTTTCAGAACGTTTTGAGCAGAAAAGTGGCACAATCTGACTTATTTCTCAAAAGAATCTCTTTGGCTGCTGCATACGGAATAGAAGTAGAGGGGCAGTGATGGAATCAGGGACTCGTTAAAGGTTATTAGAATAATACAGGTTGGAGATGGTGGTGGCTTTGACTAGGGCAGTAGTGGTAGAGGTGACAAGTGGTCAAATTCTGGATCTAGTTTGAAGGAGGATCCTTTCAGGATTTATTGGTCTTTTGATCAGAAAGAGTGAGAGAATAAGAAGAGTTAAGGATGACCCAAAGTTTTCAGACTGAGCAGCTGGAAGGGCTGAGTTGTCATTTAATATTTACTGAGATGAAGAAGATAGCAGGAGGAACAGATTTTGGGGGGAATCAGTTAAGGTGTGAACAACATGAGATTCCTACTTAGATATCCAAGGGTAATATAGAGAGGCAACAGCTGGATATACAATGGTCATTATTTAAATGCTTATTTTGAACAATAAGTTGGTAAGTCATAAAAGTTCAATTTAAATGATTTAAATCTCTATTAAGATAGTGTTATAATTCACACCATGCAGTAGGAAATAATGCAGAAAAATTAATTTTCCTAAGATCTTAGATATGAAACTTCATTTTATGACTATAAGTTCCATATTGTTCTATTAACTTTACTGTATTAGTTATAAAATAGGCATACAAAGGAAATTCTCATATTAATAATAATCATAATAGATTGAGCAAATAATACTTTTAGTTGCCTTTACATTACATACAGACACACACACTTAGAGAAGTATAGGTAATATCTTTGGGGCTTATTTAGAAAGATAGTTTTTTAAAAAATTTGTTGGTATGTTGAAAACTAATATTCTTATGTAGGCTTTAATTTTGAATATGCATTTTAAAATTATTTTAATGGTACACAAAGGTGGCTATGAATATAATTTTTAAAAACATGTTCTTATATTTAAGGATTTCTTTTTTAAAAACAGTTTATTTCATGGTAATTTATGTTCCTACCAGTTGTTAAAGGGAATGATACATTTGTACACTTTTAAGTGTATTCCTTTTTATAGTAGAATGTATAATGTTTAGTTTTTGAAGCAGAAGTACAATTAATGAAAACACATGACTGTCTGAGCTTTGCCGTTGTTCTAGGTAGGATGACAAACTGTACAATATAAATAGCAAAATAGAAATTGAAATCTATCAGAAATGTCTACTCTATTGTTTAAAGGTTTATGAACTGTTTATAATTTTCATTCAATAAACCAATGAAATGTTACTTTATTTTATAAATTCCTAAGACATTCAAATTTTATGTAGTCTAATGAATTAAATGATCAGCAGATTAATATAGTTCTGTTAAATAATAGAAAGAAGTATATATCCTTGAAGGTCATATATAGTAATTTTGTGGACTATGATTATGTTTGGGTTATATAATCTTAGATTTTTAAAAAACTGTAATTTTTTATCTCTCATTATGTAAATAGCAAATTCTTTCTGATTACACAGGAAGTCTTGCATGTTGCAGGAGTGGAAATGCAGTTAACGGCTGCGGTGTCGTTTTTGACCATTCTACAGGAAGAATCAGTGTCAATCCATGCATACGCCCATTCCTTCCTCCAAGTCATTCTACTACATCTGGAGCACAGAGACACAGGTCAGGGGCTTGGCATGCTTAATTATATATTTATTGATTGATTCTTGTATATGGCCATAAGGTTATTTGAATTCTGTTAGCCTGCTGAGGATAACTGAATGAGGCCATGCTGTTTAACAGTTGAGTAGTTGTATGACTTAAAATAGTCATGGCTGTCACCTCACAAAACCACAAAATTCACTGTTATTGAAAGATGAAGTCTCATTAGTTCATCTTATGATTTATACTTTCTTCTTAGCTTTCTTTTTCCTTTTTACAACACTTATGTTTATAGTATTATTATATAGCAAAAAAGAACACTTTGCTTTAGAGATATCTTCCTAATATTACTTTTATAAATATAAAAATTTTCTAGATGTTGGCTAAAGAAAATAATAGAGAAACTTCCTAGAATAGTAATAAAATAATTTCTTCCATTTTGTCATTAAATGCTATTGTAACTATTAATGGCTGAGTTGAAACTGAATTTGTGAGACATTTAATTTAGCATTTTACATCTGTGTCAATCAGGTGTCAGCAATGCATGGTTGGAAACTCTTCTGTCTGTTATAGAAGTATTGCCAAAAGAAACCCTAAGGCATGAGGTAATACTTTTTTAAGTCACTCTAAGGCTTTTTATTTTTATGATTTTTGACAGAAATCATTTTTAGAAAAGGAATAAAATTTTCCATTCAGAAAGCAGCACATGTACATTGTAGAAAATTTAAGTAATATGGAAAATAGAAGAAAAATAATTCATAGTTCTGTACTTGGCCACTTTTAAGATTCTGATGTATTTCTTTTCAGATTTTTTTCATTCATATATATATATATATGTATATACACACACATATATGGTTGCTGCTTGGTATATTAGTGATCATGCTGAATTTATATATGGTTGTTTTTCACTTAGCATTATTTTCCTCTGTTATTTCAAACTCTCTTGGTAGTAGCTACAAAATATTTTACTAGTTAAGCATTTAACCAGGTTTACAGGCTTAAATTTTACTGTCAAAATAAGGCATTAATGAACATCTCTAGAGAGCTTTTTCTGCTTTTCAGTTAATTTCTTTAACTGTGGCTTCCAAAAAAGTGGAATTACTGGGTCAGAGGGCATTGATTCTTAAGCTCTTGACTAATAATATGTGAAATTTTGTTTCCCTGGACTTTTATCAGCACTAGTGTACAAATTTAATTTGATGGGACAAAATTTTTTGTTATTATGCTGTTGAATATTCTCCCATACATTATATTTATATCAGTTCTGTTTATTCTTTTGGAATTGTCTGATCCTACCCTTTGATCACTATTTATATGTACTGTTTACCTATAAAGGTTCCTAATCCTTTGTTATACTTGCAAATATTGTTGCAAATATAATTCCTAGTTTGCCTACCTATTAATTTTCAGCATTGAACAATATACCCTTCTCTAAAGGTTTTAAGTAAATTAAGATGAGAGAATAGGAAAAATAGTTAGCAAATTTATTATTCTCTAATAGGATGATTGTACATTCTTTGAACATTATCGCTATGTTTATTTCTTTCCAAACATGTTGTGGTTGATAAAAAAGTTATCAGTCATTGAAATGTACTCTACTGATTTCATTAAGTGTTTTTGTCCTTTCTTTGCCCTCATACAGTTTATGATTCTATCGTGGTACCAAAATAATTGCTTAAAAATGGGAAGATTTATCCAGTTATAAGGATATTTGTGTACTTGATGCCAAACATCTAGATGATTAAACGTTGAATGTAATGTAGACATGTGGTATTTATATTTTTTGAAGACTGATATACAGTAGAATGTAGTTTTTACTCCAGAATACCATATATTATTTAACATGTGTTTTTTTAAGAATGTATCTTATTTTATTTCAAACCTTTCACTTTTAAATTATATTTTTCATTATGTATTGAGTAATTCTGGATACTTTGTTGAGAGAAAACAAACTATTTGACCCTTTTATTAAAATCATAGAATTTTAGAACTTGAAGATATCTGAGTATAACATTTTAATCTTCATTTTAAGTAGATGAGAAACCTGGGGATGAGAAATAGCAAGATTATTTGGACAAACTAAAGAACTGGGACTAGAATCAAAGTCTGATCTGCATGGTTTTTCACAGTTTATCATGCTGTTGAGTTTTTGAGTGCCCAGTATATACTTAATACAATGTCAGACCCGGTTTGTTGTATTAAAATGACAGAATTACTTAATATGATTTATTTGAAGCTGTAATGTTTCTGATCTCATTAGGATAAATATAAAGTTAATCTATATGGGATAAAGGTAAAATAAATTTCAGAGTATCTGATAATTTTTACACTTTTCTTTTTAAAATATATTTTCAACATTATACTTTTATCTATATGTACAGATCATTGCAGAATTCATCATAAACTTTACTTCAGGTTATTGTTTTAATTGTTTTTAATTGCATAATTTGTCGTTTTCAATAGAAGATAAAGTGATCTAGCATATGAAAAATCATATACCTCAAATTGTAATTCAGATTCTTTGAAAAATTTAGAACATTAAGATACTCTTTGAAGAAAATAGCTGACATTAGTGGCAAGAATGTATAAAAGTTTGTGAATTTTTTCTCTAAATCTTTTCTCTTTAGATTTTGAATCCACTTGTTTCCAAGGCACAACTTTCCCAAACTGTCCAGTCTCGTTTAGTTAGTTGTAAAATTTTAGGAAAATTGACTAACAAATTTGATGCCCATATGTGAGTATTTGTATATAATTTTTTGTCTGTTTTATGAAATTGATTTAATATATGTAATGACTGTATGATTAACATTTATATTAGATTTATATTTTTCCATACTGTATACCAGTTTAGTTATTTCAATTTTATAGAATTATCAGACAGAATTCTACCTATTCAGACTACCTATTCTCAGTCTCATGGCTTTTCAAAATTGATAAGGTTAACTTTTTTCCTGCTTCTTGTCTTAGTCTTCCTCACTCCATACTAAATGTACTTTTGAGGATAATAGGGCATTATCTTACTTCCAAAATCAGTAATCATGGCATAAAGATAGAATTTCTGCTTTCTTACATTATTGTTATAAATTAATTATTTAGAATAATTTATCTTATTTTGTAGAGCACATTTATAATTCATATGCTACTCTTTGCCCAGATGATAAATAACAAATGGAAGGAATGAGATATTATGTAATTATGACACAAGAATAACATGTAAACTTGAAGAATATTTTGGTTGATGGTTGCTAGAATCACATATGGTACTGCTATAGCATTCTATCTCAGCTACAGACATTCAGCTGCAAATCCAAAGTTAACCATTATTTTAAAAAGACCCTGTCATGTACATAATTTACAAATAGCTGATGATAACATCCAAATGTAATGACCTATGTAAAAACACGTTTTAAACTCTAAAATTTTATATTAAAATATATTGTTCTTTTTAAGATAAGATTTTGATAATAATTGTTTGAAAATATTAATTATTTGGTATCATTCATCCATTTGCATGTTTCTTTCCTCTGCTTCATCAGCATTAAAAGGGAAATTCTTCCCCTGGTAAAATCACTCTGTCAAGATGTAGACTATGAAGTTCGATCTTGTATGTGTCGGCAATTAGAAAATATAGCTCAGGGCATTGGGTAAGTATACTTTCAGTTCCTTATGCCATAGTCTTATTTTGGGATTGTTAGGCAAGCATATCCTGTTCATGTATTCCATGAAAACATGCCCACTGGAAGGCTACACTTTATATGATCTTTAAAATGATCATAACAAGTACCTCCTCATGTGTCTGGATTAAGTGAGATAAAGGGAAATTTGTTTAGCATGGTGGAAGGCTTTCAGTTACTTTTAATTTCTTTTCTTCTCACTTTACTTAGTTATTATTCCAAAAACCTAGATCCAAGAAATGAAAATGTCCCAGTATAAATGATGCTTGGAATATAGTTGTACCATTTCTTTTAGCTGGCTATTCTATGCTGTAGAATTGGTTCATTTCAAATGGGATTACAATTCTCCTTTGGTATCCATAGGAGATTGTTTCCAGGACCTCTAGTGGATACCAAAATCCATAGTTGCTCAAGCCCTTGATGTAATATGGTGTAGTATTTGCAAATAACCTACTCATAACCTCTCATATACTTAAAACCATCTCTAGATTATAATATGTAATACAATAATATAATGTTAATACCATGTAAATAGTTGTTGTACTGTATTGTGTAGTGAGTAGTGACCAAAAATGTCTGTACATGTTCAGTATAGACATCATTTTTTCCCCAAATATTTTCCATCTATGATTGGTTGCATCCACGAATATGGAATTCATGGATATGGAGGACCAACTGTGGTCTGATGGGAGCTTTTCTGTGTCTCTTGTGCAGCTCCAGGCTTCCACCCCCACTTCGTTGCTCTCTGCATAAGCTCGGGAAGGGGGAGGAAGAGGGCAGCCAATCTCTTCTCTTCACCTATAAAAACTGATCCCGTGTCAAGCTATAAGTATGATATTAAAGGGAGTCTTATCTAAAAAACATCTTGGGAAATAGTTTTTTTTGTTTTGGCACCTCTTATTTTTAGCAAAAGTTGCACTGTTTTCATCTGGTTTTTTGTTTCACAAGTAAGAACAATCATGTTGTGACCACTTGTACCATTGTTAATTTTTTAAAAATCTGGGCCACTATTTAAGACTTTGGGTCACATTCATTACAGGAAAACAAAAGCATTGAATAGACTTCTCCTTGATCAGGGATGACTAAAAAGAAAAAAAGAAAAGAAACAAACATGGGATCCACAAAAAGATCCTCCAGTGACAGAGGGGAAGAACATACTTTTGACAAAGTTGATAAAACTTGTAGTGCTGGTGATATGACAAGCAAGATAACCAGAAAGTCCTAGAAATATCTAATTAGAAATATTGAAAAAATTCAATATCCATTCATAGTGAACACTCACAGGAAGCTATGGGTAAAGGGAACTTTCTTAATCTGATATTAATAAAAGGCATGTATAAAAAACTGCAGCTAAAATCATACTTAATGGTAAATATTGAATACCTTTCCCCATAAGTTAAGAACCAGGCAACGTTGTCTCCTTTCATCATTTCTATTCAGCATTGTTCTGGAGGTTCTAGCCATTGAAATAAGGCAAGAAAACAAAATCCTAAGAGGCCTAAATATCTGAAATGAAGAAGTAAAATGATTTCTATTTGTAGATAACATCACTATTTACATAGAAAATCTATAGTAATTTACAAAACAACTATTAAAACTAATAAATATACTTAAGGTTTCAGAATATAAGGTTAGTATGAAAAAATCATATTTTTATATACTAGAAGAATATATTCAGAAAATAAAATTCAAATATTCCATTTATGATAAATTTAATAAAAGGTATACATGATCTCTGCACTGGAAAACCACATAACAGTTTTGAGAGAAAAATTTTAAAAACAAATAAATTGGTATATACCATATTTATAGATTAGAAGACTCAGTATTCTCAATATTGTTAAAATGTAAATTCTCCTCAAATTGATCTAGCAATTTAATGCAATCTCAATCCAAATTGGACTGTTTCACAGAAATTGAAAAGCTGATTCTATAATTGATAAGGAAATGCAAATGACCTGGAATGGCCAAAGCAATTTAGAAGAAAGACAAAGGACTTACATTGCCTGATTTCAAGATTTACGATAAAATTCCAGTAATCAAAAAATATATAATGTTGGCAAAAGAGACACATAGATCAATGGAACAGAAGAGGGAGGTCAGAAATAGACCTACGCATAAATGACCCGTTGATCTTTAAGAGAGTGCTACAGCAATTAAATGAGGAAAAGAAGATCTTTTCAAAATCCTGCACTAGAATAACTAGATATTAATAAAAGAAAAAAACTGGTCATTGACACTCCGTTCACATCATACATGAAGACTAACTTAAAATCTATTATAGATCTAAATACAAAAGTTAAAACTATAAAACTCCTTGAAGAAAATATAGGAGAAAATATTTGACTTTTGGTTGGGCAAAGATTATTTAATTAAAAATCATGAACTGTAAAAATGTGACAAGTTAGACTTTATTAAAAAAATACTTTTGCTCTTTAAAATAAAAAGTGAGGCCCAGAATGGGAAAACCATTCATAACACATATATCAAACAAATGACTTGTACCCAGAATATATAAAGAATTCTTCCAACTCAAAAATGCAGAACTCTAACTAACAGCCCAGTTAAGAAATGAGCAGTACATTTGAACAGACTTGTCATAAAAAATGACATAACACACATTGACCAAAAAGTATGTGAAAAGATATTCAACATCATTAATCATAAAGGGATATATAAGTTAAAAACTAATAGGTTACTACTACACACTCACTAGAATGACTAAAGCAAAAAACCTGTTAATACCAAGTGTTGATAAGGATTTGGACCAAATTGGGATTCTCATACACTGTTTGTATAAATGTAAAATGGTGAAAATGCTTTGGAAAACTGATTGGTATTTATTGAAAAACTAAACATACATCTATATGGCCCAACCATTTCACTCTTAAGTATTTTATCCAAGAGAAGTAAAAATATGTGTCCATACCAACCATTGTATTATATGGACATGTTTATAGCAGCTTTATTTGTGGTAGTCAATTATCAGCAGGTAAATGTACTAACAAAATGTGGTACGTTTGTACAATGGAACACTGTTCAGCAATAAAAAAGAATGAAGACTGATACATGTAGTAGTACATCATGAATGAATCTCAAAATCAGGATGTTAAGGAAAATAAGCCAGAGAAAAGAATATATACTGTATGTTAAATGCTAACTAATCTATGGTAAGAAAAAGCAGATCCATGGTTGCCCTTGTCAGAGGCAGATTGTAGAATCTTCTGGGAATGAAAAACATTCTATATCTTGATTGTAGTGGCAATTTCCCAGGGGTTTCACGACTGTCAAGACTCATCAGTAAGTGTGTACTTGAAATAGATGATTTATTTTACCTAAATTGTTCTTCACTATAGCTAATAACAATCAAGAAAAGAAAATAAAAAACTAAAATTTACTCCAATAGAAAATTAATAAGCCATCTACTTATTTTTTTTTGTTTTGTTTTTGTTTTGTTTTTTTTTTGAGACAGAGTCTCGCTTTGTTGCCCAGGCTAGAGTGAGTGCCGTGGCGTCAGCCTAGCTCACAGCAACCTCAAACTCCTGGGCTTGAGTGATCCTTCTGCCTCAGCCTCCCGGGTAGCTGGGACTACAGGCATGCGCCACCATGCCCGGCTAATTTTTTATATATATATATCAGTTGGCCAATTAATTTCTTTCTATTTATAGTAGAGACGGGGTCTCGCTCTTGCTCAGGCTGGTTTTGAACTCCTGACCTTGAGCAATCCGCCCGCCTCGGCCTCCCAAGAGCTAGGATTACAGGCGTGAGCCACAGCGCCCGGCCCATCTACTTATTTTTAACAAAATTCTAGAAAATCTCCCTGCTGTAAAATGAGATTGAAAATTTGATGAGGAGACATAGTGAGATACGAAAGTTGCCAAGGAAGAAGAAAATTAAAAATCTGGTTAATTAAGAGATATTTTAAAGGAAATTAAAAATGGAATAGAAAAATTCAAATAAGCATAGTAAACAGTTAAGCACTGATAAAAACTGTAGTCAGTCAGTGACTTGGAAGATGAATTAGCTCTCTCAGAATTCAGAAGAAAAGGATAAATGTATGAAATTGCTTAGTGACAAGATATTAGATACGTAGTAAAGGGAAGAACAATCTAACATTATGGTCCCCAACCCCTGGGGTCCATGGCCTTTAGAAAATGTGCCACATACAATGGCCTGATTTAAATAATTGAGAAGTTACTGTTAATGTTTCTTATGTTTATGTCATGCTTTCCAACCAGACTGCAAGCCTCTGGAGAGCAGGAACAATATCTTTATGATTTTTCATATTTTCTGTAGCACCTAGCCCAATGCTTGTTTCTAGTAAGTTCTTGCTATAAATTTATTGATTTGATTTATTTTCTTCTATTACTTATTGTGCAGGACAGAACTTACAAAAAGTGTAGTACTCCCTGAATTAATAGAACTCTCCAATGATGAAGGCAGCAGTGTGCGACTTGCAGCTTTTGAAACTTTGGTTAATTTGCTTGACATATTTGATACAGGTAAATCTTCATGAGGACACGTCTTTGCTCTTGAAAGTGGTGTTCTTCCATATGTTTTGAATCACTGATAAGGAGTAAATGTAGATTTAGAATTTCTTATGTTAAGTTTTATGATAAATGTTAAGCTTCTCTTCCTTTCATTCATTTTTGTATTGTTGGTGGCTGTTTTTGTGCTATAAGGACATAGTTGAGTAGTTGGGACAAATAGCCTGCAAAGCCCAAAACATTTACAAAAAAGTTTGCAGATTCCTGCCTCATACTAGCTATTAAAACAGTGATCACATTGTCTTATGATTTTTTTAATGTATGATTTCTTTGCTGGTTGGGTTTCTCAAGTTCAGAGACATTTATTATTCATCTTCCTATTTCTACTTAGTTATAATGCTTGTTCTGTAAAAAATCCAATAAATGTGTGAATGTCATTTAGTAAAAACAGTTGATATGGTACTGAAATGTGATGATAACAGTGATAGTAATAACAATAATACTGATAAGCCTATTATAGCATTTTACTTAGTATTGTCAGATGTTTAATAAGGTAGCAATTTATTTCTGAAAGCGTTAAGTAAACTATGAGAAATTTGAAGAGTATTTAGAATTGATGCTTTAATATTGTTTATATAGTAGGAACTTATAAACTAAGTAGACCTACTCAAAGAATTGGTTAACTTTTTAAAGAAGACTTATCAAAGAAATAAAAGTGATGAAATTCAATGTATAGAACATAAGCTAACTTAATTTCAATTAAAAAGGAAATGATAAACTGGGCTTAAGCTGCATCATTGTATGAGATGTAGGTAAAAGAGAGTAACTTTCCCATGCCTGCTACTCATCTATTAATATTTGTATTAATAGTGTTGGAATTCTTTTAGTTATTCAGACTCAAAACTTCAGCCGTCCTAGCTTTCTAATTTGTAATCACTTTTTATATTCTATTCTCATTGGCCCACATAAGAAGTTGAAAGCCCTTCCTGGCATTGAAGTTTTTGGTCATTTTAACCTTCCTTTTACTCCTTCTTCACCACATACCTCTATTCATCATTGTTTTCAGATATTTTCTATTGCTGTGAGGCTAAGATAGTAATTTTTCTTCTGGAATTTTTGTGTATGTATTAGTTTTCACATGTACAGTGTGGCAACTGGATCTAAAGTATGTATTATTTTGCTTTGCTTTCCAGATGACAGAAGTCAAACTATACTTCCGTTAGTGAAATCATTTTGTGAAAAATCTTTCAAAGCAGATGAATCAATTCTTATTTCTTTATCTTTCCATTTTGGAAAACTATGCCATGGACTATATGGTATGATATAGCCTAAGAATTTTAAGACTGTAGATTTTTTTTTCTTTTTTTTCCTGTTTTAGCCACTAAACTTCAGCATTTCACTTGTAAAACATATATTTTAAGTGTGTAAAATCTTATAAGATCTTAGAATTTTGGTAGCATAATTTAGAGCATTTGGGAATACTTTTTCACTAACAGAACCTATTTGAAAGAACAACAGAGTAAAGAAAGCATAGCTCTTTAAATGTCTGAATATTTTATACTAATGTATTAGTCGCTATGAGATAATAGAAGCTTAGGTATACTAACTATTGGTGCGTAGTAAGTATAACCTTATTAACCATTTTAACAATTTGTTGAATAATTAATATATCATGAGAAGTTCAGCTTAGAAATAATACCACAACTCTTGGCATTTTGAACATATTAGTTCTTAGCTCACAATAATAATGTGATAATTAAGTTATAACTATCTAGCAGAGTAATATATTTTCTTTATGTGGATTGCAGATATTTAGTAGTAATATATTATGAGTTCCTAGCTCCCCGAGATAGTTAATGAATGTGGAACCATGATTTTCAATTTACTGAGCTATCTTTCAGATTCAATTTTTAAGTTCATTCTCTGCAGATACACACATCTTTTCTGCAAGCAATTTTAGAATGTTTACTATAAGTAAATAGCAATATGTATAAATAGCCACAAGGTATTGTTATAATGACTTGTTAGTGGTCTACAGGTCTCCAGCCTTTTTGGCACCAGGGATGGTTTTCATGGAAGACTATTTTTCTACAGACTGGGGAGGGGGATGGTTTTGGGATGATTCAAGCGTATGACATTTCTTGTGTACTTTATTTCTGTTATTACATTATAATATATAATGAAATAATTATACAACTCATCATAGGTTGGGGATCCCTGGTCTACAGTATGATACATGCTACAGAAATTTATGCAGGCATAATTCCTGCTTAACATAGGTCGTACTTTTGAAATTAAAATTAAAATTAAGATGTTATTAAAATTAGCATAAGGTGAAACAATATGACCTGCTAGATTTCTTCATGATAGCTACTGTTTCCTCATTTCTTTTATGAACTACTTGTAACCATTTACTTAAATATTTGGTTTCAATTATGTTTTTATTGTATTTTGATTTTCTTTTTAAAATTTTTATTTTCAATTGAAATGTCAAACATAGGTTTTACGTTTGTTTTAGGAATTTTTACTCCAGATCAACACTTGAGATTTTTGGAGTTTTATAAGAAACTTTGTACATTGGGTTTGCAACAAGAAAATGGACACAATGAAAACCAGATTCCACCCCAAGTCCTAGAGCAGGAGAAGAAATATATATCAGTACGGAAGAACTGTGCTTATAACTTTCCGGTAATAAATATATGTTTATATTTACTGAGCATTTGATTATAACTTTAAAATATGTGAATAGATAGCATTAAATAATATTGCCATATTCGATGCTTGCTGTTTAACATTATGTCTGGCATTCATAGTAGGTACTGAATAAATATTTTTGAAATTTGTATTTCTCTCTATAAATCAGAATTATATGCATGCATTTGGATCTTCCAAATATCATTTCTAATTAAATTACAATTCAGAGACCATGATTTCAATTTAAGTGAAATGATTATAATATTAGGTGTTGATGCATGTTTTTCTCTCCTTCCTACTCATCTCTTCCCTTCCACCTCCACCAGGCCATGATTGTTTTTGTTGATCCTAAAAACTTCCACATGGAACTCTATTCTACATTCTTCTGCCTTTGTCATGACCCTGAAGTACCAGTCAGATACACTATTGCTATTTGCTTTTATGAAGTAAGTCTGAAGAATTGATACCACTTTACGTTTGTTATTCTACCTACATGAGCTAGATGAGTTTTTGATATTTTGTGTACTTCTGTTTATAGGTTTATTATAAGATATACTCTATATCTTCCATGTTCTAGATTTAAATATTATTTTAAAATTCCCATAATTTTTTTCTGTTTTTAGTATGTTTATAGACTCCATTTCCATAAATACATTATATTCATTTATTATTTTGTTAATCCTTTCATTCAGCATATCTATACCAAATGCTTACTTTAAGCCAGACATTGCGGTAGATATGGGTGATGTAGATTGGGTAATGAAATCAGTTTTTATATGCTTTCTAGTATTTATACTTTTTGCATCTAAACTTAAGCACTTGAGAACAAATGGGAAGTTGAGAAAAATTATTTAATTGTTTTCACTGCAAATAGATGATGTTTCTTGAGCATAGCTTTTAGATCATGCTGTTATGACTCTTTGTAAAAGTAAGTGCAAAAGTGAATTTAAAATTTTGTGATGGATGTTATTAGCTTTTTAGCCCTCAAAGCTGAAATTTAGGACATGCTTCTTGGATGATCGCAATGAGCACACGTATGCTATAGTTGCAGTAAATATGTATAAGCTACAACTTATTAACTTCAAAACTGTCACATAAAAATGTCTTTATAAGTGGCATAATAAAATATTTCCTTTCTCTAAAAGTGATGTAATAATTTCTTACTCTCAATGAGAAGATTTAATCCTCTTCATTGCACTGTGTTCCTATGTCAAACCACTGTTAGATTAACTGAAAGTGTGCATGGTATCCATAGCATCATTGTAAATGTTACTTAAGATTCTTTTGGCTATTGGGCGATAGTCTTTGCTTCTTTCAAAGAGCACTCTTTCTTGTATGAATGAAATATGTATTCATTGTACAAAATCTAGGAAATATTCACTTTAAATTAAGGTATAATTACTTAAAATAATTCCAGTATTGTACAATTGTATCATTCTTGTAAATATACTTCTAGAAATCTGATTTTGGATGAGGAGAGAGGGCAGAGGGTTCTGGACAGCTAAGCATGATATTCATCTCCAAGATGCATTAACTGATTCTTCAGGCTTGGTTACTGTAAACACATGTATTTGTTAGATTAGTGGTCTCCAGAGAGGATTGTATAAGATTGGAGCTTGAAAATACAGTATTTTTATAATATTAGACTTTCTACTTATGTTTATCTCATCACTTTAATATTTAATTTTGTTTATGTTTTATAGTGGATATAGTATAGCACTGTATTAATAAACATATGGAAATGTATATGTGTATACAAAAATATTCACTGGTAAAAGTGAGTTTGATGATCATTGATCTATGAATTTGCTGGTTGGCTAGTTTGACAGTCATACTAAGTTAGGTAGGTTAAGAATGATGTTCTGCTCCATAAAATGGAAGTGTTAGTGTATGGTTGTCCTTTTAAATAATGAAAATCCACTGGTGGATTTAAATTTTTCTAAGCGTTAATGCTAGATTCTGATCATTGCTTTACTATGATCTAACTTTATTCTTATTTTTCAGAAAAATATTATTTTGAATATATTTTCAACAAGTCAAAAACAATTGTGTAGAACAAAGGATTTTAAAACATTTTCTTTACCCAAGAACCATTTTCTTTTTTCAAATAGAACTTTACTCAAGCCTAATATGTTTTTTTAAAAAAAAGTGAAGTAGAAGCTGGTGAATCTACCATTGTGAGCTCTGCGTTTGGAAGGAAAAAAACCTGTTTGCAAGGGGAGCTGGATTATTCTGGACTTTCCCAACTTCTTTCATGCTGACTAAAGTCTTTGATGGGGAAAGGAAACTTGTTTTGCCTCCTTGGGAGTTATTACTACCCCGCTGTCACTATAGGCCCTCTGGGAAGTTCTAAAGTGATATGGCTGGGATAGTCTTTAAGATCCTATTGGCTGGCTGGGCATGGTGTCTCATGCCTGTAATCCTAGCACTCTGGGAGGCCAAGGCAGGTGGATCCTTTGAGCTCAGGAGTTCGAGACCTTCCTGAGCAAGAGCGAGACCCCATTTCTACTAAAAATAGAAAGAAATTAGTTGGACAACTAAAAACATATAGAAAAAAATTAGCCAGGCATGGTGGCGCATGCCTGTAGTCCTAGCTACTCGGGAAGCTGAGGCAGAAGGATTGCTTGAGCCCAGGAGTTTGAGGTTGCTGTGAGGTAGGCTGACGCCACGGCACTCTAGTCTGGGCAACAGAGTGAGACTCTGTCTCAAAAAAAAAAAAAAAAAAAAAAAGATCCTATTGGCTGCTCTAAGCCTTTAAAATGTGAAGTAGAGGCACCCATGGGCTTGTTATTGCTTGTGATTTGAAGCTTATGACACTGGTAAATCCTGTCCTCCTGTACTTCCTCACCTAATATGTGCATTTTCTCACCCTCATATCAATCCAGCATATTATGAAGCAGACTGAAAAGCTAGTTATGTATTCAACTGATTTTTCTAGAATTCTAATTTGATATTTGTGTTATAAACTTGTTTTATTTTAGAAGTATCAACAAGGGTATATTTTTAAAAAATATTATTTTAAACTGTATATGTGTAATAGTCTCAAGTCTGAGAGACTTTATTGCTACATTTTAGGTATCTAAACTTCTGAATTCTGGAGTATATTTAATACATAAAGAACTAATAACATTATTACAAGACGAATCACTGGAGGTAATATCTTCTTACTCTTTGGTTTTTACTTCTTTTATGTTAATTGCAAACATATCAATGCCTTTCCACCCCCCACCCCTGCTTCTTAGGAATTGCATGAACTCTTTCAGTTGACCAGTCACAGAGGCTTCAAGATCAATGTACCTCTGTATCATAGACTGGAAACTGAGATCTTTAAAAATACTAGTATTTAAAATATATTCAGATTCAAAATTTAGTATATGTGTATTTATTTAAGGAAAATTTAGGAAGTGCTCAAAAGTGGACAAATGAGTACCTTTAATTCCAATCACTGTTACTATTTTGTTACATTTTTAAATTGTTCTATTTTTTCTATATAAATGTTATAATTTTTCATGCAAAGGTTTTTATTTTATACAATTGTAATCATATATCACATTTTATATCTTTTTTTCCGTTAGCATTGTTTGGAGAATGTTTTATAATTTAGTATGTACTTGTAAAGACTTTGAAATACTTTTATTTTGATGCTCTATTTAGTAGATCCCATTTACCTAAATGACTACTAGCTTTCCAAAGCTCAGCTCATCAATATTTTGATATTGCTGAGGGTATTGTCTGATTTAAAATGCCTTTCAAAAGTTGGTGGCAGTTTTTGAGCATGTTAGTTGTATAGTGGTAGTTCTTTCAAATTTAGACTATTTAAACAATATCAAGAGGCAGGTACACTAATCTCTTTCCAAAGGTAGATTGATCAGACAGTTAACTATGTTTCTAAGACTTTCCAACAAGAAGATGGCAGAGTAAGAGAATACATACTCCCAAAATGTTGTTTGGTAAAAAACATTCTATTACTCTGTAGAAATTGACATGTGGAGTTAACTAATCTAGAAAAACAGTAATCACTATAAGATAATCAATATCTCTATCAAAAGGTACTAGATGCTCTTATAGATCACCTTCCAGAAATCTTGGAACTTATGTCTACTGGTGGAGAAACCAATGTTCAAGAAAATAAGGTAAATCCCATCTTTCAAAAAGGTTTTTGAACTTTATAAGGATTGTCCTTCTCTGCAGGGTTGTTAAGAGGAATCAATGAAAGAATGAATGGAGAGCATTTAAGGTAGTGCTTACCACATAGTAGGTGCTCAGCAAAAGTCTGTTAGAGTTTGAATAGCTTGAATTTCCCCTATAATTCTTACATAAACAATTTTTCTATTACTATGATTCTTATTATCTTTGGAGTTTGTATTTTCATTTTTTATTAGCATTAGTTATTATTCCAAGAATAGCAAATAATGAGGATGAAAGGGTAGGAATTTACAGTGTCAAAGCTTGCTCACAGTAATAATATATAATCAATTTTACTTTAGTTAGAAGAGTTGCTATGGTAATCAGTCTGACAGGAAGAATGATGAGTCCTAGTCTCTCCTTCAAAATTTGGTTTCCAGGAACTATAAAGTTACTTATAGGTTTTTTAAAGAAGATTTTTTTAAAGACTTCACCAGATAATTATCTCCTTGTGAGAACTGAGATGCCCCCTAAATTCTAAAATGAACAGGTATATTCCCTTCCCCAATGCATTCATTATAAGACTGAATAATTTTATTGAATGCTGTGATTGATTTACTTAATTATAATTGACTCTTTTGATGTTTCTTTTTTAGTTATCCTCTCTACCTGACTTGATTCCAGCACTCACAGCTGCTGAACAGAGAGCTGCAGCCTCTTTAAAATGGAGAACTCATGAGAAGCTACTACAGAAATATGCCTGTCTGCCACATGTCATATCCAGTGATCAGATATATTATCGTTTCTTACAAAGAATGTTCAGCATCATGATGACAAATGTGAGCACAGGACATTTCATTTTATTTTTTTGAACTCATGGTTGATTTTGGAATTACCAAATTCTTCCAGTTCTCAAAATGTACAACAAATTCAGTTCGTTCCATTCCTCGTAGGAGGACGTCATTTTCCCAGGTCCTAAGGAGGTAGCCTCAGTTTCCTTTTGCTTCTCTAGTCCTTCCTTGAGCATCTTCTCCCTAGCTGGAGCAAGGGTGGACAGGGGGTGCTTTTTGTTTATATACTTCCAGGGACAGTGTAAATAGACACACTTCAAACTTAATATAGTTCTTCAAGAGGAAGGTTGACAAGGCTCAGTGGTCTCGACCGCAAAGGACCTTCTGCCCTGATGTGTACCTTTGATGTATCCATGGCTTTGGTGTCTGACCTCAGCTATGACATTTTGCCATGGCATCCCTTACATTTAAAATAGTGCTTGGGTTCTTAATATTAGTTTGGTTACTTTTTCTTTTATGGTACCTGAAGGGTAGCTATGGAACAGATGAAGTTTATACCAAAAACATGGATGCCCTACTATGGATAACCTTATAATTAGAGTCAAAAGAAAAAAAAAGACTCATCCCTCAAGGTGGTGCTCAAACCTCCCCATAAAATTAATTGTCTACTTTTTTTACAAAAATTTGCAGAGGATTATTTTCTTTATAGTTTACTATACATTTAATATGATACCCATTATTATTTTTTTCACCCCTCCCCCATTATTATTTTTAAGTATAAAAAAGTTCCATGTATTTCTGTTTTAGAAACTGCTAAAAGTATTTTAAATTTTCATTGTTCTCAATAAAAAGGAGATGATGAATTCTAGCAGCCATCTCAAAAACCCAAAATCAACTTTAGCTTAAAAGATTTAAAAAAGGAAAAATTTATATTATTGGTGTTATTTATAACTTAAGTAAAAAAATAAATAGGCAAGGCCGGGCGCGGTGGCTCACGCCTGTAATCCTAGCTCTCTGGGAGGCCGAGGCGGGCGGATTGCTCAAGGTCAGGAGTTCAAAACCAGCCTGAGCAAGAGCGAGACCCCGTCTCTACTATAAATAGAAAGAAATTAATTGGCCAACTGATATGTATATAAAAAATTAGCCGGGCATGGTGGCGCATGCCTGTAGTCCCAGCTACTCAGGAGGCCGAGGCAGTAGGATCGCTCGAGCCCAGGAGTTTGAGGTTGCTGTGAGCTAGGCTGACGCCATGGCACTCACTCTAGCCTGGACAACAAAGTGAGATTCTGTCTCAAAAAAAAAAAATAAATAAATAAATAAATAGGTAAAAACACATTTTATCAACTTAACACCCCTACAAGTTTATTTCACATATCAAAGGAAAGCCTAGGGACTGACGGTTATATCGTAGATGCAACCATTTTAAAAAAGTGATTTGACAACAATAGCATCCTTATCAGTTTTATATTTGATAGCATGAATGTACCACATAGGACATTTCACATAGAATTGAACAGAATTTATTAATTTTATTCAGCAGTTAGTTGTTTGATGCCTCCTATGTGTCAGGTACTGTTCTACCTGGGGAGCTGGGGATATAGGAGTGAACAAAACAGACAGAATGGAGCTTGCATTCTAAAGCAGTGGTGGTGGGAGTGAGAGATAATAAAATAATAAATAAATGTATTAATAGGTGGTGATAACAGGTGCTGTGAAGTTTAATCTTAATCGTTGGTCTCAACCTAGTTACTTGGTAGGCATGTTTGTGTTTAGAAAGCTGAAGATACATAATCTGTATTCTTAGCTTACTCAGGAAAGAAAAATGATTACAGTGTACAGTGTGGACAAGTACTTTTTAGCCTGAGATGTTTGTTTTACTGTTTTTTTTACAAGGAGCTAATTCCACACTTTAAAGGAAATACATGGGCCGGGCGTGGTGACTCAAGCCTGTAATCCTAGCACTCTGGGAGGCTGAGGTGGGTGGACCGCTCAAGGTTAGGAGTTCGAAACCAGCCTGAGCAAGAGCAAGACCCCTGTATCTACTAAAAATAGAAAGAAATTAATTGGCCAACTAAAAATACATAGAAAAAATTAGCCGGGCATGGTGGTACATGCCTGTAGTCCAAGCTACTCGGAAGGTTGAGGCAGAAGGATTGCTTGAGCCCAGGAGTTTGAGATTGCTGTGAGGTAGGCTGACGCCACGGCACTCTAGCCAGGGCAACAGAGTGAGACTCTGCCTCAATAAAATAAAATAAAATAAAATAAAATAAAGGAAATACATGGTTATATAGCACATTTTCCATGGTCAGAGAGACATATTAAACAAAAGATTTATGTTTTTAGTTCTGTACCTAATGGTCAGAATATTCATTTGTTCATTCATTCATTAAAACTTATTGGGTGCTTACTATGTGCCAAGCACTATTCCAGGTGTCAGGAATACAATACTGAACAAGAGAGACAAAGGAGCTATTTTCATAGAACTTACATTCTACTGTGGACATTTAACAAAATTAACAGTTATTCTTTAATATCATTTAATATCCAGTTCATATTAAAATTCTACCAATTATCCTCCAAATGTATTTTACAGTAGTTTTAATCCATACAGAATCCAATTAAGATCTCTATCTTAAGATAAACAAACAGTATGTCAGGGATGAAAAGTTCAATGAAGAACTATAAAGCAGAGTTGAGGAGAAAGCAGTGGAGGCTAGTAGGTAGGATGCCATTGTGAATACAGTGGTCAGGACCAAGTATGCTTTGTGTGGAGGCTTGAGCAAAGTGAGGGAGTGAGCCATGCAGATGGCTGAAAGACAAGCGATCCAAGCAAAGGGGGTAGTAACTGCAAACATGTGATGCAGGATATGCTTGGGCATGCCGGGAGCAGCAAGGAGGCTACCGTGGCAAGTGGTAGAGAGCTGGGGCTAGCCTCGTGGCTGGGTCTATACACAGGTCCTTGAAGGCCATGATGTGGACTTTGGATTGTGTTTTCTGAGACAAGAGGATTCTTTGGAAGGTTTTGAGAAAGGAATGACACAAGTTTTTGTTCCCTACTTTTGTTATGAAAAAAATTTAAAGGTAAAAAAGGCAAAGAAAATATAATGAACCCTAAATACCCATCACCTAGATGTAACAATTAACATTTTGCTATATATTTGCCTTTTCTGTTTCATTGTACTAAAGAATTTTAAATTATAGATATCATCATATTTTGGCTCTAAACATTTTAGTATTTGTCTATAAAAAAGGGACATTTACCTATATAATCACAATACGGCTATTACATTTAATAAAATTAATATTTATTCTTTAATAAATGTTAATGAATAAATATTAAAATGTTAAAAAATAATATTCTTTAATATCTAGTCCATATATAAATTTTACCAATTTCCCCTAAATATATTTTGTTGTGGTTTTATTCCATACAGGATCCAATTAAGGTCTATACCTTGCCTTTAGCTGTTACATCTCTTCATTATCTTTTAATCTAGAAGATTTCCCTGTCTTCCTTCTTCCCCCACTTTTTCATGACATTGAATTGTGGAAGAGATTAGGTAGTTTTCCTATATAATATTCCAACTCTATTTGATAGATGGCTTCATGGTGTGTGTGAACTTGTTCATTTGTTCTCCATGTTTCTTGTAAACTAGAAGTTAGGCTTGAGGGCTTGCTGAGAATTAGGTTAAATGTTTTTGGCAAGAATACTTCATAAGTGCTCTGTGTATTCACATTTGGATGGTTGTCCTACTATGAGTGAGCTAAGAGTGGTTATGCAGGTGGTGACAGCCCTATTTGTCCACTGCAAAATTACACTTTCTTCCAAGTGATCTGCCTTATAATCTGCAGCTGATACTTCAGCCCTCTGGATATTCAGTTTCCCATCAGCCTTTCACCCATTAGTTTTAGCATCTGTTGATGATCCTTGCTTGAATCAGTTATTTAATTAGCACTTGGCAAAAGAATGATTTTAAAAATTCCTTCATTGCTTATGCATTTTTTGCTGGTGGTATTCTGTAAAGAAGTACTTTCCTTCATCCACATGGGTTAATTATCCTGAGCTGCCCTTCCTAATTAATGTAAAAGAATGAATTCTTAATGCTTTCCCTCTAATTATCCATTTTCAGAGCTAGGAGTTGTTGCGGTAATCACTTTTAATGGTGACAGATGAATTTTGTTTTTGATGGGGTGTGTGCGTCTATCTTTTAGACTAATTTTAAAATGTTAAATGATATTTTAATTAATTGCAATCATTATTCTATGTGTTCAAATTCTTACAATTTCTTCAAACTTGCTTTTATGTGCTTTTGACCTGATTACATTTATCTTTGATTTCTAGTCCCAGAGAATATTTACCTTATACTATAAAGTGTAATATGTATTATATATGAGGTACAAAATATATGTATTTTCATATGACTGGCATTTGAAATTCTATCAGTTTATGCAAAATGAAATAAAAGAGTAACTTATACCATAAAGTATAATATGTTTTATATATGAGGTACAAAATATATGTATTTTCATATGAATGGCATTTGAAATTCTTTTAGTCTATGTAAAATGAAATAAAAGAGTAACATACTTTTTAGTTCACCATTTATCTAAAATTCATTTTTCTTAAGCCCAGTCATGCTTCTGTTTATGTATATGTCTTAAATTTTCTGTTCTAAATCATAGTAGATATCCTCTTTTTATATTCAATAGATTAAAAACATTACACTAATTGTACACAATTGAACGGAAATAGCTTATCATAAAATATGAGAGGAGATAGCAGGCAATACTGTCTCAGCAATATAAAGTTTTATTCTACTTGAATTTTAAGGATCCTTGCAATAATAGTCTGAATCTTTAGTAATTGAATATTATAATATTTGTATGTAACTCAAGATGGTGAACATGAATTTATACTGCCTCGTTGAGAGGGTTTTTTTAATGTTACATGGTTTGAACTCAAACCTAGTAAAGATAAATGGTTGCATTCATTTAGAATTAGGGTTCTGCCCAGTGGTGGGAAAGAAACTTGAAGCATAAAGGGGTTTGGAATATTGGTAAGAGTGGTTGACATGGTGTCCTTTGGATTTTAAGCTTTATCTGTACCATGGACCAGAGATCTCAATGAGTGACATTGAGGTTGAAGAACTAGAATTAAGCCAGAAATATCAAAGAGTATACCCTGTTACCCTCTAAATTTATATTTTAAAAGCGGCACATTTTTGGTAATGTACCTGACACATAGTATGCTCTAGCAAATGTTTATCGAATGAATGTGTGACAAAGTCCTGAGAATGACTAAAAGAATGGATGGTGGATGTGTATTTGAGGAGAATATCACATAAGATGATGTGAATCAGATCTGGATGATTTGTACAATTCTGTGCCAAATTAAATTAACTTCGTAATGTGATAAATTTGTTGATTTCCCTGAGTGATAGTAACATTAAATTTGAAGACACTTCCAGAAGGATATAAGTTCAGTGATTTGAGAGGAAGTAAACCACTCCTCTTATTTTCAACCAGTAGCTTAAAATCAGTTTGGTGGGGCCAAATTATTTAGAATCCATAATAATTTAGTCTAGTTAATTGTCTGTCTTATTTTTTTTCTTTAAGAATGTCTTACCTGTCCAAAAGGCAGCTTCACGAACTCTGTGCATTTTTCTACGTTACAATCGTAAACAAGAACAGAGACATGAGGTCATTCAAAAATTAATTGAACGTAAGTAATCATTGTCTCTCATTTTGAGAAAAAGAAGGTGAACTAGTTGGCCTTAGTTGTTATTAGATCTGATTTATGTATCTTTTTGCCATGAATAATTAGGCTGATATTGCTAAGTATCTATTGTGTGCTTTTATTTCAGTTTTGTTGGCTAATTTTTGTTTTTTAGAAATCTTTATGGCAGGATTAGATGGGTGATGAATGAAATTAATGATTACTTTGAGCATTCTTCTATGAATTTCTATACTTGAGAAATTAAATGTGAAATGAATGCACATTTACATTGAAAGCCCAGTTTCTACCTTAATGAAATAGCATTTGGAACTAAAATATAAATAAAACATCCATGAATCTCATCTTTTAGTTTGGTCTTGTTTTTAACATTAACATAATTAACAGAATGTGGGATTTTTTTCCTTTACTAGAATTGTTAATACATATGAATGTGAATCTGGTGAGCTTAGGTGGTTTATAATAGCTTAAGAAACTAAGTTAATTTACAAATGCAAATTGGTTTTAATTTGTCAAGAGCAAAAATCAAGGGAAAAACTATTGGTTAAAGTGTTAATTATAAAAATAATTGCACATACCTATATATACCTAGTGAATTTGTCAATTATTGTATACTTGCTTTGACTGTAATATCTAAATGTTTTTATTAAAGCCTATTATCCAGCATAGGCAGTAATGGGATTTTCTGGTTATTGGAGTTTACCATTTTAAGTATGAATCACCACTTTGCAAAAAATTAGAGTACTTTCATAAAATTCCATTTAAGAAAAATTATGGTGGGTACACTTTAATTTTTCTTTGTATAGTCTATCTTAATGCAATTTTCATTTTTCAGTGGTAGGGGTTTACATTTAGAATGTTTTATTTTGAAAGAAGGTTCTATTTGGCTTTAAATATTGAGTTTTGTTTTTGAACATTTATGTAAAAAGAAGAAAATTAACCTTTAAATATTGACCTGAGTTATTGTCAGTAGTACTGTTTACATATGACTCTGTCCACTTCTAAGCATTTTTAAGGAAACAAGAGGGAAGAAACAGTTAATTTGATTATTAAAAGATTTTGAAATTAGACTTGCATTTGAATTCTAGCTCTGCACCTGCCAGCTATGTGACTTTAACCTCTCTGAATCTCAGTAGCCTAATCTTTTAGGAGGAATAAGTATGCATATCACATTGGATTATTGATTTTCAGGGTCAAACAAGATAATATGGATAAAGTACTTAGCACATGGTGGGTGATCAAAAATAGCAGACCTAATCATTGAATGGTTAATAAATGCTTATGGAATTAAATGCTATGTTTAATAAAACTTTTTGCTGGTTTTTTAGGTATCAATAATTTGGGAATCTACAAATCTGAGGAATATATGATTTCTTTCCCTCTTATCTCTTGTATTTGCTAACCAAATTATGGGTATAAAGAAACTTATGGATTTTATGTGTTTAATTTTGTCACATGTAATTTCCTGTAGGAAAAATTAACTTTTGATAATTTTTGTAGGAAAAATTAACTTTTGATAATTTTTGTTTTTGTTTATAGAATTGGGCCAAGGAAAAAGTTATTGGAATAGACTTAGATTTTTGGATACCTGTGAATTTATTATAGAGATATTTTCCAAGTCATTTTTCTGTAAATATTTCTTTCTACCTGCTATTGAACTGACACATGATCCAGTAGCAAATGTGAGGTATGTTATCAAAGAAAATATTTGAAAACATTGTTATATATCTAATATAGTGAATATATGCAAAATCTTTTTCTTAGTCAATTAAAAGATTGAGTGAAGAATTTACACTTGCTTTGAAATTCTTGGTATTAATAATTGATGAGCATCTATAGGACTTGGAAGCATACTCCTTCAACACTGTCTTAGATCTTTTGTTTTACTGGGTTGAGAGTAGTAAGTTGCAGTCAGATTAACAAGCTGCTTCAGTCATTTGGATACACTATTGGCACCAGGAGAGGTTGAATAGGTATTATTAAGCTGTCTATCATTAAAAGTCAAGAAAAAATAGTCAGCTGCTTTGTCACTTCAGAGTTGGTTTGGTGAGTGTCTGTGCACTTCTAGGTGCCCATTTATTCTGAGAAGTAGGGCTGGTTTGAGGTCTTTTCCTGTCATCTATGTTCAATTGCCTTACATTTTGGAAATCCAATAAATGTTAATTGGATTTGGTTAACTGTTAAGTTGGACGGAACATGCCTGAGAATGGCTTGCTTGGAAATTGAAAAAAAAAAGAATAAATATATTTTGTTCTTTTTTTCTCCTAAAATGGGCCTATTGTTTCCTTTTTATATATTGTAAAATATGCATAACATAAAATTTATCATTTTAACCATTTGTATAGTTCAGTGGCATTAAGTACATGCATATTATTACTTAAAAGCTATTTGTACATTTGATAATAGGATTAAAGGAGTTTTAAACCCATGTCATAAGTGGGGACCAGGTGCAGATTTACATCTTTTATAAACAACTGACATGAATTATAGGCAATATGTAAAACATGTTAATACTTTTTTAATAGGAAGACTTGGTGAGGCAATAAGATAGCCTAGGTTACTAGTCTTGCTGTTGAGATATATACCAAGAAAAATTGTCAAACGATATTGAAAAGTTCAACCTAAGAATTTCATGAGCATTAGTTAATGGGAACAATCTGGGGTTGATTTTTGTTTTGTTATTTTTAATGTGAGAAAATACAGAAAGCACAGCTGTTTTGGCTTTAGCTTTTTGTGCATCTTACTTGTGCTTTATATTAATAAATGAGAGGTGGCATATCCCTGACATTTAAAGTAAATTGAAAAGAACCTCTTGGTAATTCTCTAGATTTTAGCTCTTCCTGACCAACTAATGAATCCAGCTATATTGTTAACATTTTGTAAATTGAGGTTATGATTCTAGAAAAGCAACTTCTAATGTGATAAATTGTCACTTATCAAGCAGTTGACAAAGATAACTTGGAAGGAAATGAAATCATCTCTACTCTGGTCAATGTGACTAATAGCATTGCACTGACTCTAAGAGAAAGTGATCTGCCAATTCAAAAACTAAAAGAAGATTAATTAAATATCACTTCATAAATTTTGGGGTTTTTTTGGGTAATATATCATCGTATAGCAATATGTCTTGGTTCTCACTCTTCTGCTTGGGAAGCCGCCAACCAAAGAAATGAGTCTGGCAGCACTGTATGCTAACTGATTTGGAAGTAAAAAAGCTTATATGTAATGCTATAGAGCTGTGTAGACAGTATGAAAGCCATCACAGGCAAGGGTGGTAAGATCACATAGATTAGGAGCATGGTTTCTGGAGCCATACTGCTTGAGCTGAAATTCCAGCTCTATGCTGGATGTGTATATTTGGGCAAGTTACAAAACCTGTCTGTGCATTGATTTCTTTCGTACATAAGTCATAAAGTGTTCTGAGGTATAAATACCTGAGATAATATACATAAGCAATTTAGCTCACCAGAAAGATATCACCTCTAATCTCAAGAATTTTATAATCTAATGGGACCAGGAGTCTGATAGGGAATGAATCACTGTTATGGCTTGCGCTGAATGTATATTTTCTAGACATGAATTGGGTTATAAAGAATGAAGTGTGCATCGACTGTTAAGTGTTTTCGTTTGTCCTTAAGTGAATGTTTAAAATCTAAATTGACTGAGTTTAGACAATATCAAAGTCTGGAAAAAGACTTGGTATTCAGAGAAGCCTTCTCCACAGCTGTCAGAAATAAAATAATTTCTCTTTGGGGGAATTGGGACTACTTAATTAGAGAAAGCATCACCAGGCTAGCAGTATCCATGATGAGCTCTGAGTGAGATTGAGGCTATTATTGCTACTTACAGTGCTGAAAATTATACAGGAGGAGGTTTTTTACCCCTTTTTACTTGAATAAAAAGCAAATTTTGCTGGATATGAAGAATCACCAACTGAAGGTTCAGCTGGGAAAGCGTACTGGAAAATTTAGGAATGGGATTTAGTTGTTTCAAGGTTTGCGATAGAAATAAAAAATAATAATGTGGCGAGCACTCAGATTAATGAATGAATATAGCAACTATGCAATAGAGAACCACTTTGCATCCCTCTCTAAAACCAGCTCTGGCAAAGAAGTAGATTTTTAGTTTAGCAAAGCTGAACATTTTCTCTGAACTACCTCCTCCTGGAAAGATTTTCTTTAGATTGCTGGATTTCCTCTTACCTCTCTGACATTATTTAGCCTCCTTATTCTTTTCAACCCAATCTAGACTGTGATAGTACCTGGACCTGGACTGTATTCTTTTGTCTCCTTTCTTCTCTAACTGCACTTATTACCTTGGTGATCCCTCCAATCTCATGGCTTAAATATCATCTACATGCTGAAGATTCTTCATTGTGTCACTAGTATAGACATCTACCCTGGACAATGGACTCATTGAGCCAACCGCCTGCTTAGCACTTCCATTGAATATCTAATAGGCATCTCAGACTTAATCCATCCAAAATTAAATCCTGATCTTTCTTATCTGCTTTTGATCCTTCTGTAGTCTTCTCCATCTCAGTAAATAACTATTTCATCTTCCCACTTCCTTAGGTCAAAACCTTAAATAAGTCCTTTTTGTCTCTCCAGCTCTAATCCCTCAGCACATCCGCTGCTTATACAGTATATTCAGAATCCAAGCACTTCTCTCCACCTTTACTGCTGTCACTCTGGTTCAGTCCACCTCATCATCTCTTGCCTGAATTATTGCAAGGACCTCCCCTATTGTTTCTCCTGTCCTTGACCACTTACAGCCAAGACAGTAGTCAGATGTTATTTATAAAGTTTTCAGTCAGATCACTTCACCTCTCTGCTCAGAACCCTCCAGTGGCTTTTCATCTCGCTCAGAAGAAAAGCCAGTCTCCTTACTGTGGCCTGCAAGTCCTCTCGTTCCCACTCTGAGGTCTCCTGCTAATCTTACCTTCACTCTGTTGTGCTATAGCCACAATGGCCAGTTTGCTAATGTGAGGCAATGTGGGAGGCACGCTCCCCCTGTGTGCCCTACAGCTCTTTTCTAGGTACTCACATGGCTCATTCAGTAATTTTCTTTAGGTTTTTGCTTAAATGCTATCTGTTCAGTGAACCCTTCACTGACACCTTCTCTGACCACCGGCATTAAAACTGATTAATCCCTCTCTCCTGGTTCTCCCTCGTCTTTTTCCGTACTTTATTTTTCTCCATTACCACTGTCTGACAGACATTTTACTTGTTTCTCCTCTCTTCTCTACTGCCATACTAGAATATAAGCACCATAATAAACGTGTGATACATAGTAGATACTCCATAAATACTTGTTATTTAATACATGAATAAATGAACTCTGAGGCTATCTAAAACTTGTTTATTCTTTCAGTTTCATGTTACTATTATTCTTAGTTCTTAAATTTACTCAAAAGTAAATACTGTGTAATTTATTACAGAATGAAACTTTGCTATCTGTTGCCCAAAGTGAAATCTACCCTGAAGACTCCTGCAGATAAGCATCTACTTCAGCAATTAGAAATGTGTGTGAGAAAACTCCTATGTCAAGAAAAAGATAAAGATGTTCTGGCTATTGTAAAAAAAGTAAGTATCACTCTTTCCACAATGTTGCATTTCTTATAATTAAGGTCCTGTTATTCATAGCTTCTCTATTTTAGCTTGATAGGATAGCAATATGTTAAAATACTTAACATCCTTGCTAGAGTAGAAAGAATTAATAAATGATTTGGTTTATGTGTGCTATGGTTGGATATAACTGGAAAGATATTTTTAATAGGGCACTTAGATATTAAACTTTTATTACTAGTAATATAAACTCCATGACGGAGAGTTTGGCACATGTTAGGTGCTCAGTGAATACTGTTCAATAATAATGAATATCATTCACCAGACTTTATTTACAAATGATTATAATCCAGTAAAACTTTGTTGGTAAAATTGAGAAAGTCATGTCTTATAGAAACAGCCCTGGAAGGGCCCTCAGACTTAATTCAGTGGTCTGCTTGAGATCAGGTGAGTAAGTGGCAGAAGCTAGGACTATAATAGAGTACATTCCTTTTTAAATAATGTAACATTATTGTATCTTATAGTTTGTTTTGTTTCAGTGTGAGATCTTATTATATTGGTTGTTTGGGAGTGTTAGAAAACTAAAACAGTAAAAATTTGGGTTAGTGAGCCAAACCTTAAAATACATTATAATCCTCAAAAACTCTCTATGCTGAATATATAACTAATATTTTTATAAGATTGAGTCAAATTAAAGTGGTTACTTTTATGAATCTGAATGTGAACTTCAGGACACGTAATTTTTGAGCATTTATTTGTAGTGAGAAAAATTAATTTATTAATGCAATAAATAAATTAGCATTGATGGTGAGAACAAAATAGAATCCTTTTATTTTTTTCTCTTTTTTCTAAAAATCATTGGCAGATGTCACACAAGGAACTTTTTAATGAAGTGCTTTGGTGACTTAGTATTAATTAGTATAATTTTATTTTTACTGAAATATGAATTCCTCTTTCGTTAACTGAAATAACCCAAAATATCCAGAGTTGGACATGCAGCTAAATTTAAAAGCATACATACACACACATACACACATACACACACACATTTCTACCTGCTTGTTCTGTCCTTACTATTTAAGTACAAAGTTTAGGCAATGGAGTTAACTTGTCCAAATAATAAACACGAAAGGGTTACTTTTCCCAAAGAATTTATTAATTCAAGAGATAATACAAGCTAACCTCATATAGGTACAAGCGAATGTCATATAGACACAATGATATCATTAAATAATGGATTTTTAACCTACAATGGATTATTCTAGAGTATAGATCTTATTTTAAGTATGTTTCACATGAAGTCAGTCTGTCCAATGAAAATTTTGTAGTCTAATGATTTATTAGTATGGGAACCTCTGAGGAAGCTACACAAAGCTTTGAGATAAAAATGGAATCACTTATAATCAGTTTTTTAATATAGAAAGTAACTTTATTTAACACGGGCAATTCATGGTATAAATTGTAAATTTTTCATAAATTTCAGCATAAAAATAAAGCTTGAAAAATTTTATGTTTGTAATGAATAGCTTTGGGCATATAAATATATTTTGGCCATTAGAGTTCCTCTTGTAAAAGAAGTGCTAGAAGTACTGTCCTCTATCACAGATAGAACCCTGGATTAGATTGACCATTGTTTGATTGGAATAATTTGTTTCAAACTAGTATATTCTGAAAGACACATAGTAAATTGAGAGAATATTTTCAGAGCAAAGTCTTTTCTATTGGTTAGAGTATCATAATGATAAAAAAAATTCTATGGAAGAGAACTAAGGATTTAAAGCCAAATGATAGCTTGTTTCATATATATTTAGTTGAAAGACTTTAAAAATTCAAAAGCTATATTTCTGAAAATTTGGAAAAGATTGGTATTGGGAGTTATTAGAAATTAGTTAAATTGCATGCATTTGGTATTTAAAATATGCCTCTAGACTTGCTCTGCTTAAGGTTAAACCCTTTTAAAAGTTAAAATTAATCCTGGCATTGCTGTTTAGAGGTTGATTATAAATACAATGTAGAATTAGGCAGAATTTGCAGAAGTCTTCTCTTTGAACTTCCCTCTGGAAAAGGAGTCTATGAGAAATGATTGGTTGGTTTTGGTTTCATTTAATTGCTGTTGAATAATTTTTAAAACTTTCTTTATAGACTGTCTTGGAGTTGGACAGAATGGAAATGTCTATGGATGTGGTAAATACACTTTCTTTTCTTTATATTGGAAGGAATATTTAAAAATTGAGAGAAACTTATCACTAATGTTTCACAATTTCATTTTAAACAGTTTCAGAAAAAGTTTTATGAAAAAGATTTATTAGATCAAGAGAAAGAAAGAGAAGAACTACTTCTTTTGGAAATGGTATGTTGTTTTCACTCACACACACATATATTCTTCTGTAACCAATATTAACTGTTTTGTTATTAAACTTTATAAATAATTTATTTCAATTTCACACTACTTGTTTTTTCCTAAAACACGACTTTTTTTCCCTCTTTGAATAATGAAGATTCCTGATTTTCTGAAATCTGTTCTTTTATCAACCAGGAGGAAAACTATATTCTAGAGCCTTTTAAAAAAACTACTTTATTGAAGTATAATTGACAAACAAGTGCATATTTTAAAGTGCACAATTTGATGAGTTTTGACATAAGGACATGTCCAAGATACTATCACCACAATCAGAATAGAAACATTTTCATTCCACCAAGTTTCTGTGTGCCCCTTTGAAATTCACATTGTCTTCTACTCCTGTGTCCCCAGCAACTTCTGATGTAGTTTCTGTCACTGTAGATGAGTTTGCATTTTCTAGTAGAATTATTTAAATTGAATCATATATTATGTACTTTTTTGGCATCATGCTTCTTTCCATTAATATAATTATTTTGAGATTCATCCATATTGTTGTATGTATCACTAGATCATTTTGTTTCTTAGGATTCCATTGTATAGATATACCACAATTTATCTGTTCACCTCTTAATGGGCATTTGGGTTACTTTTAGTTTGGGAATATTAGAAATAAAGTTACTATGAACATTAGGGAAGTTAGCCTTCAAGAACATTAGCCTTTGGGTAGACATACGCTATCATTTCTCTTGGGTAAATACTTAGGAATAGAATGGCTGGATTATATGGTATACTTAACTTAAAAACAAACAAAAGTCTTTTCCAAAGTGATTATAGCATTCTTCGTGCCCATTGGCTGCGGTGGAAAGCTTTACTTATTCCATACCTCTGTAATGCTTGATGTGGTTAATGTTTTTAATTTTGGCCATATAGTGGGTATGTAATGGCATCTCATAGTTTTTTCTAATTGCATATCCCTGATGCCTAAAGATGTTGAGTGTTTTTCATTTGCTTATTGGCCATCTTTATCTCTTATTTGATGAAGTCTGTTATCAGAATTTAAAGTAGGTTATTTTATTACTATTGAGATGTAAGTGTTTTTAATACATTCTGAATATATATAGCTCCTTTGTCAGATATACATATTATGAGTATTTTCTTGGAGTTTTTGGCTTATCTTTTATTTATTGTGTAAGTCCAATTTATCAATTTTTTCTATTATATTTTTTGTTCTAAGAATCCTTTGTCTATACCAAGATCACAGAATTTTTCCATTGTTTTCTTCTAGAAACTTTAATTGTAGGTTTTACATTTAGGTCTATGATTCATTTCAAGTTAATTTTTATATATGTTTATTTTTTTCCATCTGTATATCCAGCTTTTTCAGCACCATTTAAAAAACTTTCCTTTCCCCCTTGAATTGCCTTAGCACCTTTTAAAAATATCAATTGTCCATATACATATGTGTCTATTTCTTGACTCCCTATTCTGTTCCACTGGTTTGTATGTTTATCTTTTTGGCAATACCAAATTGTCTTGATCACTGAAACCAGATAGGGTAAGTGTTCTAACGATGTTTCTTTTTAAAATTGCTTTGGCCAGTCTAGGACCTTCGCATTTTGATATGAAGTTTCAAATCAGTTTGTCAATTTCTATTAAAAGCCTGCTGATATTTTAGTTATGATTGGTCTATAGATCAATTTGGAGAATTGCCATCTTAACAATTGAATCATCTAGTCCATGAATAGTATCCACCATTCTATTTAGTCTTCCTTTCTCTCAGTAATTTTGATAGCATTCAATATAGAGCATAAGGAAGTCTATGCTAGATTTATGACTAGGTATTTTATGTTTCTTTTGGCATTGTAAGTGGAATTATAATTTTTAAATTTCACTTTTCAGTTTTTTGTTGCTGTGGTATAAGAATATTATTGATTTTTGTGTATTGACCTTGTATACTTGTATACTTGCTAAATTTGTTCTAGAAGTTGTTTTTTAGATTTTCTAAAACTAGGATTTGTCTATGTAAGCCACCATGTCTTCTTTAAATACAGAAAGATTACTTCTTCGTATTTAATATTATGCCTTTTAGGACCTCCAGTACAATTAAAGACCTCCAGTTGAATAAGAGTGGGACAAGTGGGCATCCTTTTCTTTTTACTGATCTTAGAGAGAAACAGTTCAATCTTTCATCATTAGGTCTTATGGTAGCAGTAGGTGTTTTTTTTTTTTCTTCATAGTTTTTTTTCTTCTTTTTTTTGAGACAGAATCTCACTCTGTTGCCTGGGCTAGAGTGTCGTGGCGTTAGCCTAGCTCACAGCAACCTCAAACTCCTGGGCTCAAGCAATCCTGCTGCCTCAGCCTCCCCTCCCGAGTAGCTGGGACTACAGGCATGCACCACCATGCCCGGCTAATTTTTTTTCTATATATATTAGTTGGCCAATTAATTTATTTCTATTTATAGTAGAGACGGGGTCTGGCTCTTGCTCAGGCTGGTTTCGAACTCCTGAGCTCAAACGATCCACCCGCCTTGGCCTCCTAGAGAGCTAGGACTACAGGCGTGAGCCACCGCGCCTTGTCTAGCAGTAGGTTTTATGTAGATGCCTTTTATCAGATTGAGGAGGTTCCCTCTTACTCCTAGTTTGCTGAGAGCTTTTATGAATGGTTGTTGCATTTTGTCATATATAGAAATGATATTTGGTTTTTTTTCTTCATTCTGTTAATACCCTGAATTACATTGATTTTTCAAACATTAAACCAGTCTTATATTTTGGAGATAAATCCTATTTGATGATGATATATTATCCTTTTTCTCTATTTTTAGATTCTTGGCTAAAGTTTTTGTTAAGGAATTTTGCATTTGTACTCATAGATTCATAGTGAAATTGGTCTTTAATTTTTTTTTTTATCATTTTTGGGACAGATTTGGTATTAGAGTTATTCTGGCCTCATAAAACAAGATGAGTAGTGTTCCCACTCCTCTATTTTCTGAAAAAATGTCTATAAAATTGGTTTTAATTCTTCCTTGAGTATTTGGCAGAATTCACTAGTGAAACTATCTAGATTTAGAGTTTTTATTTGGGAAAGGATTTTGGTAATTGATATAATGTCTTTACTAGATATAAAACTATTTAGATTTTTCTAATTCTTCTTCTGTCTGTTTTGACAAGTTGCTTTTTTTCCCCCTTCACGTCATCTAAGCTGTCAAATTTGTTGGTGGCAAAAAGTTGTTTATAATATACTCATATTACTCTTTTAATATATGGTGATAATCTATGGTAATAACCCCTGTTTCACTCTTATATTAGTGAATTATGTTGTTCTCTCTCTTTTTAAAACTTTTTGGTGGTTTCTCTAGAGATTATAATATATATATATATTTCTAACCTTTCACCATAAGCTTATTGTTAATATAGTACCACTTCACTTAACAATGATTGCTTTACCCACTCCACACCATTCTTTATGTTACAGTTGTCATGAATTACATCTTCATTGAGGACCCCACCAGTGCTATAATTTTTGCTTTAATTGTCATGTGTATCTTGAAGAATTTAAGAGAGCAAACTTTTCTGTTTGCTCAGATGTTTACCATTTCCAATGCTTTTCATTCATTGCTTAGGATCCAAATTTCCCTCTAGCATTTTTTTCCTTTCCAGCCTAAAGAGTTTTCTTTTGCAGATCTTGTATCACAGGTCTTCTGGGGACAAATTCTCTTGTTTTCCTTTCTCTAAAATGTCTTATTTTTACCCTCATTCCTGAAGGATATTTTCATTGGGTATAGAATTCTTCTTTTGTTAGTTCTGGTAAATTGTGCTTCTGTCTATCCTCTGGCCCCATAACAACTGAAAAATATCTGCTGTCATTTCAATTGCTGTTCTTCTGTAGGTAATGTTTTTATGTGGCCACTTTCAAGATTTTTTTCTTTTATCTATTGTTTTTAGCTGTTTGCTTTAGATATGGCAAGGCATGATTTACTTTAGCCTCTTTTAGATTTGCTCATCCTACTGAATCTATCTATAGTGTATCTATCATTCTCCAACTTGGGAAAATTTGGGCCATTGTTTATTTAAATATATGTTTTGTTCCAGTCTCTCTCTGCCTTATTTTTGGGTCTCCAATTACATATGTGTTAGATGTTTTAGTACTATCCCATTGGTCCAGGAGGCTTTGTTGCTCTAAATTTTTTTTTTAACTCTGCTGCTCAGTGTGAGTAATTTATTAATAATTTATTGGTCTGTCTTCAGTGTCATCAGCTTTGCCCCTGTCTTCTCCATTCAGCTGCTGAGCCTATCTAGAGAATTTTTTTTTTATTTCCAATATTGTATTTTTCACTTCTAAAATGTACATTTTTAAAATATTTTCTGTTTCTCTGCTGAGAATTCATGTGCTGTAAAATTAAAAACTTATGTGGAAAACCTCTGAAAAGCAAAGTACATTATTTCGGCAGTTTTCCAAGACAGAGATTAGAGCTCAGGATTGCCAGTTGTAGAAGCTGTAGAGAATAAGGAGGCTTTAAAAAAAATTTTAATATGAAATGACCTAAGCCCAAGACTAGAACAGACAATATAAAAAGAACCACAGCTGATCCTATATTGGAGTTAGCAGACAAGGACTTAAAGATAACTGTGATTAATATGATCAAGATAATACAGGGGAAAATGGGGAAAATAGATAATTCTGTTAAGCCCACCTAATAATATTTATAAATTTTATGTGTGTTCTGTTTTAGAATTTCCATTTGATTCTTTTTTATGTGGTCCAGTTCTATGTGGAAATTCTTTTCCTAATTGATTTTCTCCATCCTTTTCTTTATTTTACATGTGCACTTAAAAAGAATGTTTGTTCTCCATTTGTTGAATATAGTGTTCTATGCATGTCAGTTATGCCAAGTTTGTTCAGAACATGCTGTGTTCATTGATTCTTTTTGCCTATTTGTTCAGTTGGGAGAAGGTGCTTCTGAGTTTTTGTAATGTTTTGTTTCTTGATATTGGAGCTGTTTATACAGGTGTATTTACTTTGGAAAAATTCAGTGAGCTGTACACTTATAATTTGTGCACTTTTTCTATGTGTATTATACTTAAGTAAAGCATTTAAAAATATGTAAGAGACCATTTCCTTTTCTCTAAATTGGTTTAAAGAAAAATGTTATTTTGCCATTTTACCAATCAGAAATTGAAATAACTAATAGTAACAGGTATTTTGCTAATGAGAATTGATAAATACCTTTTAGAAAATAAAGACTCACTATAACAATAATACCAGACTCATTGTTTTAGCTTGACAGACCCCCAAGGGCATAATTCTGTAAATGTCAGAAGAGACAAATCTAAAAGCCCTAAATTCTTTAGATACTACTATGAAAAAATACTTCTTTTAGATGTTTTTATGAACCTTTATTTGTATCTCTAAAGCTTAATTTCTCAGAACAATTTTTCTAAATCTATTAAATTGTACCTTTAATTCTAAGATACTGTTTTAATAACAGGAACAGTTAGAGAAGGAAAAGCAACAGAATGATGGAAGGCCCATGAGTGATAAAATTTTCGAAAAGAAGCGTAAGTAGTTTTTCTATGTCTTCACCATTCAGTTACATAATTATGTTGCATCCTGATATTCTGAAATACTATGCAGATTTTTTAATTTATATGGAAAATTGCTTCACTTTCTTTTATTTTTCAAAATTTGTTTTTTAAAATTGGCTGTTTAATATGGTACAGATGTTAGAAATACATGAATAAAAGATAGAAACCAGTATGAAGGTTCAGATTCTTTAAAGGAAAGCTTGAAGTTTGATTACAGCTATTAGATTGTGAAATTGATCACTGAATAACAAAGATTGAAATATATAAATAAATAAAGTAAGAATATTTGGAAAAGACAACTGCTTAGGTAGGTATAGTGATTCACATTCTCTGTATTGTCTTATATATTTATGGAGATTAATAAGGTCTCAAAGCAAACTATAGAACTTAAAACAGAGGTTTTTTTAGGTAGAGACAATAAGACAGCAACGCAAAGTCTGCCCAAGAGCATCCCCATTTCTGTTCCTGGATCCTCATCTCTCTCCCCATCAACAAGTAAGAAAGAACTTCTTTTTATGTCTCTTTTATACATTTTTTCCTTTCACAAAAATTAATTATAGGCAAAGTCATTCTATAAGATGGATATATTATTCTAAAACAACTTTGGCCTTCTATCACTAGTTGTTTTGGTAGTTATTAATGGGCAGTATGGGTAAGAAATAATTCCCATCAGCTCAAATTAAGAAAAGAATGCTAGGCCCATCTGTGTTTTACTGAAAATGATGGTAGTTCAGGAGGGAATGGGAATTGGGGCAGCTAAGGATGAACTGGATGCATTTTCCTTTTTTTCTGTTTATTACTCTAGGCAAAGAAATCAGGAAATCCAAATTAATTCGAAGCCAGTCTTTTAATAATCAAGCTTTTCATGCAAAATATGGCAACTTGGAGAAGTGTGCTAAGTATGATCTGTCAACTATTTACTTTTTAATATGATTTTTAATTTTATAGCCACATATGTGAAATAGTTATGTTATTATAAAAATAATTAATTTTGAGCTTTTTATGGGCCAATAATTTGTCAGTTTTCTTCTGTAATTATTGTTAAAAAATAATTGAAGTCTCCCAATTTGCATAAAAATAGATATCCTGGCATTCAGGGAAGAACTCTGACATGACACTATTTAATAACATCATAGAATCCATATATCATTTTATGAAGAAAATGGTGATGATGTATCACATATGCCATTTAACTTTTAAATGGGTACGAGTATGCCCCATTTGCTACTTCTGTTCTTTTCATCTATAAAGAAGCGAGTAGCATGTTCATATGATCACAACAGAGTTCTCCTGACAATAAATGCATATCTGGTTTTCCCTTTAGCCCAGGCGACAAAATTATAAATGGTTAAGATTAGGAGAGAATCACATAAATTAAATTACCATGATTAAAACAGCCCAAGTGTTAGATGACGGAGATTATAAGAAGCATATTCTTGTATTTTAAACTAAATCATGTTCTCTTCTAGTAAAAATTCTACAGCAGGATATACACCTACTGTCTCAGGGTTAACAAAGTCTTCTGTGCTTTCACTAACTGGTAAGTAGCAATATAAGCTTATCAAAAAATTGCTAAATTTAATAAAATATGATTTTTTAATTGATCTACTTATTTATTTCTAGATACAGTATTTTTCCTACATTTACATCTTTATCGGATCCCGAAGAAATTAAACTCTTCCCTAACAATTGAGAAATACTTGACTATACTATTTTGTTTTCACTATGTCAAGACCCAGAGTTTAATACTTCTCAAAGAGAAAAAGGACAAAAAGATAAATTAGGTTTTATCATAGTCTGAGGGCCTGCTGAATCATAGATGAAAAGTTTCACAGTAATTTTTAAGGACGTTAAAAACAGTAGGACTTCACTGCAAATCATGTACAGCTAAACACTTATGATATTATGTATTTGAAAATTTGTATTGGGGTCAGCAAAATTCTGTGAAGAGCCATATAGTAAATATTTTAGGCTTTGTTGGTCAAATTGGTCTTTGTCACAGTTACGTAAATCTGTTGTTGTAGAGTAAAACATCCATAGTCAGCATGCAATGAATAGATATGGCTGTGTTCTAATAAAACTGTATGTACAAAGACAGGCAGTGGGCAAGATTTGGCCCATAGGCTGTGGTTTGCTGACCTCTAGTTTATATAGTAGAACACAGAATTACACTATGAATAAGCTGGAATATATGACTAAAAACTACTAGTGGCTAACTGTGTATTTTTAACTTTCTGCCTTAGAAATAATTGTTTGAAAATTATAATAGTAATTTTTTTTAGGGTATATAGTGAATCTTCTCAAAGATCTACAATTTTTAAGAGCTTAGGTACAGTTCCTTTTTACGTTAGATTTTGAATATTCTGCCTTCCTCTTACCTTTTTTTTTTTTTTTTTGAGACAGAGTCTTACTCTGTTGCCCAAGCTAGAGTGCCATGACGTCAGCCTAGCTCACAGCAACCTCATATCCCTAGGCTCAAGCCATCCTCCTGCCTCAGCCTCCCGAGTAGCTGGGACTACAGAAATGCGCTCCATGTCTGGCTAATTTTTTCTATATATTTTTAGTTGTCCAGCTAATTTCTTTCTATTTTTGGTAGAGACAGGGTCTCGGTCTTGCTCAGGCTTGTCTTAAACTCCTGACCTTGAGTGATCCTTCCGCCTCAGCCTCCCAGAGTACTAGCATTACAGGCGTGAGCCACTGCGCCTGGCCCCCCTGATACCTATTGTTATGTTTTCTAAATTTTCACGAAGAATATATCTATTCTTTGGCTGTTCTGTGAAAAGTGTTTTCATTGGCCAAAACAGAACATCTTTGTAACATTAAAGCATTTACATTCATGTATGGTGATATAGGGTGATTTTACAAGGTAGAACATGATTATCATAAGAAATGATTTGAGGTTGGGCATGGTGGCTCACGCCTATAATCCCAGCACTTTGAGAGGCCAACGTGGGAAGATTGCTTGAGGCCAGGAATTCAAGACCAGCCTGAGCAACACAGACTCTATCTCTACAAAAAATAAAAATAAAAAACCCAGGAATTTGTGGTTGCAGTGAGTGAGCTATGATGATGCCACTCACTGTACTCTAGCCTGTCACTGTCTCAAAAAGAAAAAGGAAAAAATAATTTGATAACAACAGGAAGTTGCTGAACTAAAATTGTCACCATATTTTGAATTTGGGGCTATAAATAATAAAACTTGATTATTTTATCTCAGCAAAGCAGTGAGTCCTTTAGGAGAGGTCCTGAGGAACATTCAGGGTTTAAGAACTTTATGTACGACGTAGAGTGCTTTTAAAAATTGTAAATTTATATGGAAAACCAGTTTGAATTAACTCAACTTGGAGTTAATAGTGCAAATGATTATAGATGTCCATAAGGGCTTCTTCAAACTTGGGTGGAGCTCACCTGTCCTTTTGGTGATTCCTTCACTCACCTATAAATGAGCATATTTATTCATGAACTTGTAATAGTTCTTGTCAAGAAATTTCTTTGCCTAAATCATTAAGGATATTGATTTAGGTCTGGGCATGATGGCTCACACCTGTAATTCCCACTTTGGGAGGCCGAGGCTTAAGGCAAGGAGTTCAAGACCAGCCTGGGTAACATAGTGGAACACTATCTCTACAACAAATAAAAAATATTGGCCAGGAGTAGTGGTGTTTGCCTGTAGTTGCAGCTACTCTAACCTGAGTGACAGAGTGAGAGCTTATCTCTGGGACAAGCTCTCAAATACATAGATATATATATACATATTGATTCAGAACTGTTTTTAAAAATTTTTAATTATGTGCATTAATTTCTTTAGTTTTTACTTTGGTAGGCAAGTCATCTTGAGAATCAAGAGAGTAGATATGATCTACAAATCCTAAAACTTACATCCAAAGTCTTAAATAAAAGCATGTATTTTATAAGGGTAAATCTTTTATTAAAATAATTGAAAAATATTCTATCTTAATGGTTCAATATTATTTTTGGGTGAGGGTGAACTATAGTTTAAATGAACTATCTCCTAGGGTTCTTGGTTAGAAAAATATGCTTATTACTTATTGTTATATATTAATGAAATACAGACTGAAAAAAGTCAATATATAATTATACATATTATCTATGAAGAGAAATTGGAAGAAAAATGTCTTAACAAATGTATTAAATATTACATGTTCACATAGAGAAGACATCTTATTTAATTTGAGACTCAAAATGGACTTCAAGATGATTATATCCTTTGAAAGAAACCTTAAAGTACAGTAGGATTTTGGCAGGCAGAGGTGTGTATAGAATAACATTCCATGCAGAGTATAGCTCATCAACAAGGCAGACTGTTGGTATCTTCAGGGAGCAACACCTGGCTAATTTGGCTGGAATAAGGAGTAGGTATAAGGGAGCAGTGTTAGGTAAAACTGAAAGGAAAGGTTAAAGTCATAGCTTGGAAGGCCAGTTTGGATATTTTTTACTTAACAATAACTCACTGTTAGTTGTGTAATGATTTTAGCCTGTCATCAATTAGACTATCCCATCCAAGGTAATGAGGGCACAACAGAGTTCAGGAAAAATAAAGGGAATGCTAGTAAAGATTTATGGGAAAAAATTGCAATGTATCCATTGTTGGTGGGTATGAAAATCAGTGGAACCCTTTTGTAAAACAGTTTAGCAAAGTTCATCAAGAATTCTAGTTTTTATAATACACTTTGACTCACAAAACCCATTTCTAGTGATTTGCATGAAGCAATAAAATAAAAGACATAAAAATATCAAATGTTCCATCATATATACCCTTTATATGATATGATGAAAATGACACTTGTCTGTCATCCTCCTCCAAACCCATAACCCTAGTCTATTCTTAAGGAACAGGCAAATTTCAATAGAGGGGCATCCTACAAAATATTTGACCAGTAACTCTCAAAATTGTTAAAGTCATCAAAAATAAGGAAAGTGAGAAACTCTCACATCGAAGGAGAGAATATGGGGACCTGACAAATTAATATAATGTGATATTCTGGATGCGATCCTGAGATAGAAAAAGACATTAGATAAAATTAAAACTATTATGGATTTTAGATAATAATGTATCAATATTTTCTCACTAAATGTAACATGTATAGCACACTAATGTCAGGTGTTAATAATAGAGGAAACTAGGTGAGAGGGTGTAATAAATAGATGGAGAGATATAGCATGCTTATGGATTAGAAAACTTAATGTTGTTATGATGTCAGTTCTTTCTAAATTGATCCAGAGATTCAATGTAGTCCTAATTAAAATTCTAGCAGTCTTTTGGAAAAAATTTATAAGCCAATCCTAAAATCTATATTGAAATGCAAAGGACCTAGTATAGCTAAAACAGTTTTGAAAAAGAAAAGGTTGGAGAACTTAAACTACCTTATTTTAACACTTACTATAAAATTCCAGTAATCAAGACAATATGGCCTGTGTTCTCATATATATTCAGTTGATTTTCAGTGAAGGCTCCCAGATAAATCAATGGTGATGGAATAGTATTTTCAAAAATAATGCTGGATAGACCAATATCTTCAAAGATATAATTTCTCAAAAATCACAAGAAAAATAGATAATCTGAATAGGCCTATATCTAGTAAAGACATTGAATCAAAAATTAATAGCCTTCCAAAACAGACAGTACCAGGCCCAAATTGGTTCACTAATGAATTCTACCAAATATTTAAGGAAAATATTATACCAGTTCTCTACAGTCTCTCACAAGCTAGAAGTGGCAGGAATATACCCTAACTCATTTTAGGAGGCCAGCATTACCTAGTACCAAAACTGACAAAGACATTCCAAGGAAAGAAAACTATAGACTAACATCTCTCAAGCACACAGATGCAAAAATCCTCAACAGAATATTAACAAATTGAATCCAACAATGTATAAAAAGAATTATACACCACAACTAAGTAGAATTTATCCCAGGTATGTAAGACTGGTTCAACGTTTGAAAAACAATAACTGTAACTCATCACACCGCTAGTCTAAGAAAGAAAAATCATGTGATCATATTAATAGATGTGTTGAAATCATTTGACAAAATCCAACACCTACTTATGATAAGTGCACTAGTGCTTCAGTGCACTAGGAATAGAGAGGAACTTCCTCAGCTTGATAAGGAGTATCTGTAAAAACCCTACAGATAACATGATACTTAATAATAGTGAGAAACTAGAAGCTTTCCTATTAAGATCAGGAACAAGGAAAGGATGTCTCTATTATACTGCTTCTTTTCAATATTGTGCTGGAAGTCCTAGAAAAGGAAATAAAAGATAAACTGATTTGGAAGGAAGAAATAAAACTGTCTTTGTTCACAGATGATATGATAATTTATGTGGAAAATCCAAAAGAATTGACAAGCTCCTGGAACTAATAAGTGATTATAGCAAGATTGTAGGATAATATACAAGGTTAATATATAACAGTTTCTTTCCTGTATTCTAGCAATGAACAAGAAGAATTTGAAATTAAAAACATAATGCCATTTACATTAGCACCCAGAAAAATGAAAGGCATAATCTAAACAAAATATGTATAAGATATATATGAGGAAAATTACAAAATTCTGATGAAAGAATTCAAAGAACGAAGTGAATAGGGTAATATTCTACATTAACAGTTAGGAAGAATCAATATTCTCAAGATGTCATTTCTTCCCAACTTGTTCTATAGATCAATGTAATCTCAATCAATATTCTAGCTAGTTATTTTGTGGATATTGATAAACTGATTCTAAAGTTTATATGGAGAGCAAAAAGACCCAGAATAGCCACCACAATATGGAAGAAGATTAAGTTGGAAGATTTATACTACCTAACTTTCAAAACTTACTATAAGGCTACAGTAATCAAGGCAGTATGGTATTGGCAAAAGAATAGTCAGATAGATTGATGGAACAGAATCGGGAGCCCAGAAACAGACCCATATAAGTATAGTCAATTGATCTTTGACAAAGGAGCAAAGCCAATATAATGGAGAAAAGGTAGTCTTCTCAACAAATGGTGCTGAAACAACTGAGCACTCACATGCAAAAAAAGAAAATTAGATATAGACCTTCCACTCTTCACAAAAATTAATTCAAAAATGAATCACAGATCTAAATGTAAAATGCAAAACTATAAAATTCCTAGAAGATAATATAGGAGAAAATCTAGATGACCTTGGGTATAATAATAACTTTTTAGGTACAACATCAAAGATATAATCCATGAAGGAAATAATAAGCTAAACTTCATTAAAATTAAATATACTCTGAAAGACTGTCAAGAGAATGATAAATGAGCCACCGACTGGGGGAGAATATTTACTAAAGACATATCTGGTAAAGGACTGTTATCTAAAATATAAAAAAAAACTCTTAAAACTTAGCAATAAGAAAACCACCTGATTAAAATGTAGACAAAGATTTGAAGGTGATACCTCACCAAAGAAGATACATAGATGGCAAATAATCATATGAAAAAAGGAATTTGTTCTGTGAAGTTTGGATTTGATGAGTGGTTACACTCAGGGTCTGGATGGCCACCTGTGACCTTGAGGCCACAGGTTCCTCAACCCTGATTGCTGGCAGGATACAGAGCAACAGGAACTTTTCATTGCTGGTGGTAATGTAAAATGGTATAGCCACCTTGTTGGCTAGGTCAGTTTGGCAGTTTCTTACAAAACTAAACATGCTTTTGACATATGATCCAGCTATCATGCTTCTTGGTATTTACCCACTGGAGTTGAAGACATGTCCACACAGTTGTTTATAGCAGCTTTATTCATAATTGCCAAAATTTGGAAGCAACCAAGATGTTCTTCAATAGGTAGATGGATGAATAAACTGTGGTACATCCAGACAATGGAATGTTATTTAGAGCTAAAAACAAATGAGCTGTTAAGCCATGAGAAGACATGAGGAACCTTAATTGCATATTACTAAGTGAAAGAAGCCAATCTGAAAAGGTTACATAGTGTGATTCCAACTATGTGACAATTTTACCTGGAAAAGGTAAAACTATGAAGAAAACAAACAGATCAGTAATTGTCAGGGGTTGGAGAAGGGAAGGAGGAATAGATGGAGCACAGAAGATTTCAGGGTAGTGAAAACACTGTGTAAGACACTATAATGATAGATACGTGTCATTATATATTTGTCCAAACCCATAGAATGTACTTTAAGAGTGAACCATCTGAGTCACGGCACCAAAGATAAAAAAGAAAAAAAAAAAACCCTAATGTAAACTATGGACTTTGGATGATAATGTGTCAATGTAGGTTCATAAGTTGCAACAAATGTATCACTGGTGGGAGAAGTTGATAGTGGGGAAGGCTATTTACATGTAGGGGAAAGGGAGATATTAGAAATATCTACTTTCTGCTCAATTTTGATGTGAACCTAAAACCGTTCTAAAAACAAAGTCTATTATAATAAAAAAAGTGATGCTGGAACCATTGGATATCCATATTCAAAGAACAACCAAAAAACTGAACTTCAATTCTCATTGAATTATAGACTATAATATTATATGAACTATATGAATTATGGAACTATAATATTAAATTATATGAACTATATACAAAATTAACTCAAAATGTATTGAAATCTAATAAAAACTAAAACTATGAAATTTCTGAAGAAAATATATAAGAAAGTCTTTGTAATTTTGGAATAGATAAAAAGATTTCTCCTAACCATAAAAAATATTGACATATTGGACTTTATCAAAATGTAAAACTTCTGGGCTTTGTAATAGAGCATTAAAAAAGATAAGAGGCAGGGCTTAGATTGGGAGAAAATACCTACAATCTGTATACCAGAAAAAGAATTTGCATTCAGGCCAGGCGCGGTGGCTCACGCCTGTAATCCTAGCTCTCTGGGAGGCCGAGGCGGGCGGATTGCTCGAGGTCAGGAGTTCAAAACCAGCCTGAGCAAGAGCGAGACCCCGTCTCTACTATAAATAGAAAGAAATTAATTGGCCAACTAACATATATACAAAAAATTAGCCGGGCATGGTGGCGAATGCCTGTAGTCCCAGCTACTTGGGAGGCTGAGGCAGGAGGATTGCTTGAGCCAGGAGTTTGAGGTTGCTGTGAGCTAGGCTGACGCCATGGCACTCACTCTAGCCTGGGCAACAAAGTGAGACTCTGTCTCAAAAAAAAAAAAGGATTTGCATTCAGAATATACAAATAAGTCTTTAATAATTAGGCAACTAATTTTAAAATGGGCAAAAAAATTGAACATAACCTTCACAAAAGAAGACACACAAATAAGTACATGAAAAGCTGCTTAATATCCTAATTATTAGGGAAATGCAAATTTAAAAGCAATGAGAAAAAAAGCACATAAAGAGATACTACTTCGCACCCACTAAAATGTCCAAAATTAGAAAGACTCACAAAACATCAAGTATGTGTGAGGACATGGAGCAACTCTGCAGAATTCTCATACATTCCTGGTGGAAATGCCCCCCCCAAAAAAAAAAAAAAAATTCCGAACAACAATTTGGCAGCTTTTTATGAGATTAAATATACACTTACTATGTGATCTACAGTTCCACCCCAAGGCATCTACTGAAAAGAAATTAAAACCTTTGTCCACACACAAACTTGTACATGAATACTCACAGCAACTTTATTTGTAATATATGAACCCCCCCGAAAAAAAATCTAAATGTCTATCAACAGATACTATGGTTAAACTAATTTTGGCATGTTCGTGCAATACCAGTCAGAAATAAAAAGGAATGAAGTATTGATATATATGATATAGATGAATCTCAAAATAATTATGCTGAATGAAAGAAGCCAGACAAAAAAGTATATATTGTGTGATTCCAATTACAAAAAATTCTAGAACATGCAAACTAATTTCAGTTGACAGGAGGCAAATCAGTGGTTTGGAGGAGGAGGGATTGCAGAGGGGTGTGAGGGACCATTTTGTAGTGATGGCTGTGTTCACATCTTGATGGTGATGACGGCTCCATGGAGGTATACATGTCAGCCTTAACATTTTGGAGCTTATTATATGTAAATTATACCTTCATAAAATCTATTTAAAAAGAGAAAAAGTTCTCATTAACCTTTTCTTCCTCTCTTAGGTCAGCATATTTCTTAGTATATTCAATATGTCTGACTCTGCACGTATTACTTTCAGATGACTCATTCCGGATTCGTAATGCCAGTAGTGTTCCAGCTTCCTTTTCTCCTAGTACACCCTTACCAAGTACCTCCCGTGGGACAGCTAACTCAGTTGATCCCAAGAGCAGTGGAAGTAAAGACATGCCACCACGGAAGGCTACCTTGTAAGTAATCAAGTGATGTCCTACTGAGTGTATTGTTCTACTGTTTTTCTCAATACACTTTCCGTCCTACTTAAATCCTTTCCAAAAAATAGAAAATGCCTATAATGAGGATATGTTACAAGTTAAAGGGGATTATTATCACGTGTGACTCTGTTATGTTAGGCATCCTCAAACTACGGCCCGCGGGCCACATGCGGATGCTTTTGCCCATTTGTTTTTTTACTTCAAAATAAGATATGTGCAGTGTGCATAGGAATTTGTTCATAGTTTTTTTTAAGCTATGGTCCAGCCCTCCAATGGTCTGAGGATCAGTGAACTGGCCCGCTGTTTAAAAAGTTTGAGGACCCCTGTGTTAGACAGTTTATATAGGATGATTTATATATGGCTAAGGCATTGTACATAACATGAGGTAATCAACAAGAAACATTTAAATGGTTCCCACTAATATCTGAGATCTATTTTTTTCTATGAAATATTTGCATTTGAGGAACTTATCTCTGAGAAGACATCCCTTTAAACATCTAGCTTAAGTATACCGTATTGAATCGTCCAGTGCTCAGAAAGATGGGTACTGATATCACTTAAATAATTACTACAGCATAGATCCCAGAGTTGTGGGTCCAATAAATTGGAGATATTTACAGACTATACTTGTGCCTTGAAGTTGTGGTTATAAAGGGCCTATATTCTCTTTCCCCCATGGTTCCTTTTTATGTATTATTTGTATCTTGTTTGATTTGTTGAAGATTGTTTCCTTTAGCTTAAACATTTGAGGGATAGTGCCATAAAAATCACCATGATAAGAGACTATATCAAGGTATAAATGATTGAGCCAGGATGCCCACACTATAGTTACAGGTTTGCTGTTTCATTTAGGGTGCCTGAACCTTCTGATAAGAATAGATTTTAAACAAGATTTAGATTTTCTTGTAAACCTATTTCACTTAATTCATGGGCGTTTTCAAATAAAGTTTCTCAAATGCATCTTTTTGCAGAAACTCCAGGCTGGAGTCCATTTTAGGAACTTAACTATATTGTAATTTATTTCAAATTTTAATAGGCCCTTAGGTATAGACATATATGTGTGTGTGTGTGTGTATATATATATATATATATAAAACCAACTTCATTCAGAATTTAGAAATTTATTGAATTGAACTTAATGAATAATAGGACTATATAATACAAAAAGTAATAGTAATACAAGACAGTCATAATTAATATTATAGCTTAGTAGTCTTAATACAGATGGTACTTTTATTTACAGAGAATACTCTTTACCTATATAATTATTGCTCTACTAGTTATTCTATGGAAGTTCCATTTAAAACTCAGGAGAGTAGAGGCAGGACAGGGTAATGGTCTTAGGAAAGCACTGAGCTGGAGCCTTGTGTGCCCCAGTTTCAGCAGCTGCTAAAGTGGCTGTGCACAGTTCAATTCTCACTCTGGCCCTCCTTGGGCACGTCTGTCACGTGATGGGGCTGACTCACGGTCTGCCTTCTAAGGTGCCTTCCTGTGCTGTGCTTCCTCAGCTGTGACATCCTGAGATCCTTCTCCCTATCACCCTAGACCTTCTTCCTCTCAAAAGACTGCCCTGGAATTCTTCTATTGAGGACCATATTTAGTAACATTAGAACTAATGCATTTTCTTCTTCGCTTATTTTTTTAAATGCCATAGGCATTTTTTAAAGTAAAGACCATTGAAACCTAATATATTTATGCCAGCTCTCTATTTCAGATTACTATCTTTATCTGTTCTTTCATTGTTGAGCATGTTTCCTTTTTACAGACTGAATTTTTTCTTGCTCAATATATGTAACATAAAGTTATATAATCAGTTATGTATATATAATTGGTGATTTAAAAATGAATCTAGAAACAAAGACTCTGATAACAAATCACATCAGGTTTATTTCTTCTTTTCTGATTCTGAAGGAGGAGGAATATTGGTATCCACAGCTGCTTTTTTAACATATGACTAAATATACAAGTCCATAAGTATATTTCCATATAATAGGCCTCTACTACGTACTCTCTCATGAGTGCACACTGCCATGTAGCTGGAATAGGTGATTGATATCTACAGTAGTCTTTTTTCTGTGAAATATTATCCACAGTTAAGAGCCATGCCATATCCAAATGAAAATGTGTCCTTTTTATTTAAAATAAACTTATATGAAATGATTTCAGAAAGTATTATCTCAATTTTAGCTTCTCTAAAAAGTTCTATGCAATTCATTTTCTAGCTTTTCAGTGTTATAGATGACACATCTGATATTTAGCAATATTAATGTCTTAAAGTAAGTACAGGTATGTATTAACATTTTTTAAGAGCAGACAATTCATATATTTAGGCCGGTGTACTTTCTGTTATGGTTATGCAATATTTAAAATGTAGGAAAAGTGGTATGAATTAAATTGAATGCTATGTTAAGAATATACAGGATTTTTGGTAATTAAAGGTAATTCCAAGTAATCTTTAATGTGTAATTCATTTTTTCTCTTAATTAGAATTCTCATATATTAGTTTTATTCAAAGTAAATTATCTATATTTTCAAAATTTACTTTGTAAGCATTATATGAATAAAATTTTTTGTTTTATTTTCTTTTTTCCTCTTCTTCTCTCTCTCCCCCTCCCCCTTTTTCCCTTTTTCTTTCCTTCCTTCCTAAGAAAATCCAGAAAATCCAATCCTTAAATCAACTGTTTGATGAAGGAGGCAAAACAAAGGCAGCTGGAGATAATGTGATTGCCGGACAAAAGCTAAAGCAATGGCCGGGCTTTTTTTTTTTTTTTTTCAAGTTTTGTTTTTTTTCTAATTAGTGGAAAAAGAGACATAATGGCAGCTTATGTTAAACTTTCCATATGTGAAATTAGATTCCCTAGGAGTTACAATATATATTTATTGCATAATGATGTGGTTACAGAATTCCAATGTTACAGTGAAGTGTAATGAAAAACAATCTTAAGAATGTGCTTTACTGCTACAGAAGAGACAAATCTGCCTTTATTTGTGCAGGAAACCAACTATTTAATTGTTCTAGAGGTTTAACGTTGAAAAATCCTTTGAAAGTCCAAATCAGCTGAAATTGTCCTAGCTAGATAACCACTTGGAGGAGGGCTTGGAATGTAAAAAAGTCATTGAATTTTCTCACAACTCTCCGAGCCCAATTGAAGTCATACTGAAACCGTGCAAACAGCTGTCTGCGATTTTATCAGTCCTATGACTATGGTGACAATATGTTGTACCTGGATGTTCCCAAATTTAAATTTGGCAGTGAAAATTCTACAAAGATTTCTGATAACTTTGAGTTATAAATACCTTAAAAATAATAGATTGATGATTTCCTTTATTTCCTAGAAGAATTTATTTTATAAATACTTTGTTTACATTTAGATTGTATTTGTCCTTACTTAATTTAAAATGATGAATCTAGTTTGAATTAGCTGTTATTTCAAGCTATCATGCTTAAGCTATGTCAACAGCATTTATTTGTACTAATGCTAATATTTCCATCAAAATTTGCCTGTGGAACATATACAGTTCTTAATTTTAAACTTCAGTTCTTGAGATATACTGTATGAAGCTATTGTCAGCTTCTCTATTTCAAAATGCAATCAGCATATAACTATATTGATATTAGAAAATATTTGTTTTTTAAAATATATTGATGTATGGCAAAGATGATCTGATTTGCGAATGCATATGTGTGTGTGGTTACTTTTTATAATGTGAAATAATGAATAATGAATTTACTCAAAATAAAACATAGGTTAATGAGATACCTGTGTTTGTGAAAAAAGTTTTAAATACTTCCCTGCAGTTTTTATTATAAAATTAAAAAGAGTTCGTTTTTAAGTAATGAATAAGAGGAACATACCAATGTCAACTATAAATTACTCAGAGGGACAGTTACTCAGTGTGAAATTATTTCATGCTATTTGTTTCCCTTTTACCTTCCATATGGCCTCTTTTGGGCTATTTTTAGTGATTCTTACTATCCTTCACCAAAGGACAATCAAGTAAATGGAATTGTTCAACTACTCATTTTGTCAGCAGTTAAAATTTGGTAGGTATGAGAAACTTGCCAGTACTGGTTAAAGGAGTTCAATACATTCTTTGTGGATTTCATTTAACTATTTTAATTATGTCTGTCTCCTACTAGCATCAATAATGTGGAATTGAACATATTATTAATATGATCTGGGGAATTTGGTGCATAATAGGACATCAAAGCTGCATCAGTTTTTCCAGTACTTTGATTCACATTCAGTATTAATTCTATTATTTTAAATAAGATGAAGAATTTTAATTTATTTTTTAAATAATAAATTTAGCAGAGTTATAAACTTTTATTTTCTCATCATGCAAGTGGGAGAAATGGAAATTGATTTGACAGAGAAAAATCACTACTACCTATAAAGTTCAGGAGTGTAAAGAAGTCAATTTCTAGGCCATAAATTATCAATTAAAGTAGTTAATCAGAATTACTGTTGGAATTTTTTTTCTTTTTTTACAGAACATAATTCCTAAAATCTTTGGAATATTTCTTAAAATTATACTTTTAAGGGGCAGATATATAGCAACAGAATAAATTGGTGACAGTTATGGATATCCACACATATTTCCATTTATAGCAGAAATAAAAAAGATACCCTTGTAAAAGTTCTGTTTATAGCTTTTCAAATCAATCCTTTAATTGTATGACAAAGAATGATCTCCCTCCATCTGTACTTACAGGGAAAAAGGAACATCTCCTTTATCTTTTTTTTTAATTATTAAAACTTCCATTTTTAAGAGTAAGTTCTAGAATTTCACGTTAGCATTACAAGCAAAAAACAGGCCTGTAAAACTTAATTTTACTGCACATATGGAGACAGGGCTAAAAAGGATTTTTACTAAATAGAGGTAAAATAAGGAACATGTAGAATTTTTCTTGTACAACCTTTTACACATTTTTAAAATCATTTCTATTGTTCGACTTTCTGAGCTTGGATATTCTGGAACGATAAGTCTATTTTGCCAGGCAATTATGAGAAATTTTTTAATTGAAATGAAACAGTCTCCTCAGCTTAAGTAAGACTTTTATGATGAGGGTAAAACAAATTAGATTAATTCAATAATTTGTTCTCAGTTGTTACAGTGTGTGTGTTCATGCATGTATGCGCAGATGAGTCGTGAGTCTGTGTAGGAAGAATTTTTAGAACTTGACAAGTGTAGTGAAGGCTTATACAAGGTTAAGAGCTTTTTCCCCTCAGTTGGAAACTTTGAATTTGTGTGTGTGTGTATGTGTGAGATAAATTACATTTTTCATTGGTCTACATTATTTCATCATGCATATATACTTGGGAAATCTGACACCGAGTTTCTTAGGAACTTCTTAAAGCAAATGTGGGGGAACATTGAAAAATGTTTTAAAAATAGAGAATAGGACCATTTTCTGCCTTAAAGAATAATATGGTAGATATAATTGTTACGCTACTGTTGCTTTGCAGTGTATGTGGTGGGAAAAAGGTAGGGGAGTTTGATCTTCGTGCTGTATGAATTCTTCAATAATAACCTTTTTATAACTGGATTTGGCTATATTTATTTCAGAGGGTATTGCATTCTCATACCTTTTTTCTAGATTTCATTTCTTAAAAATGGGAAATTTGACTGAACTCTCTTTTATTCCTCTTTCTACTGTTTTTTCATAAACAAACATGACTAATTGAACACAAACAAGTCACTTAAGAATGTCACTTGGAGTTGGTCTTCTATCTTTTTCTCTTTCCAGGGCCTAGAATTGCCTGGCTCTTAATGAATACCAATCAGTGCCCTTGGAAGAATGTAGGAATGAATGAATGTCCAGATTTTAGAATGATGAATAGTCAGTCTTTAGACTATAACTATTCACATTACTCTGATTTATATTAGTAATCAAGATAACTAATTAATAAATTAATTTTAGGTATGTTTAAACATAAGATAGCAAACTGAAATCCAATTAGGCATTTAGTCAACACAGTTGACACACTTAAGTTAGTTAACTCTATTTGTGATTCTCTGAATTTACTCCTAAAATATTTTCTTGTTTCTATGACAGAAAATGACTACTTAAGAAAGTTTCAGGAGTATTTGCTGTTTTTCTTCACCTTGGGACAAAAGTTGATGCTTATATTCTGTTTAACCATGGTGGGTACCTATAAGCTGAGTGCATGCTGCCTTTTTAGCTGGACCCCATCAGATGTGTTAGATAGAAGGAAGGAAGAATGAAAAGGGCTTGAGGACTAGCCTTGGGAGAGACAGCCCTCTGACTCTGCCATTGCCACTGGCTGACCTTGGGCAAGTATTTTCCTTGCACTGAAGTGTAAGGTGTGACTTAACCTGCCAGGTGCAGGAGGCACAGTGCACACAATACTGTAAGGACACATGAAGATGTTTTACTTCTGACAGTAAAGCAGGATACAGACTTCAACTGCATTGGTAGAAAAATGAACATAATCCAGAATATATTCATCTTTATACCAATGCAGTCACATAATTTTTAATATATTTTTATGAAGTAGGGGATCCATGAAGGCAAAAGTGCTGAGGGCCTATGAAAGTCATAATGTGGCCCTGTTTCTGGGTCCCTATTTCTTTCCTTTGTAAAATGTAGGTATTGAACTGGATGATCTTTGGTTCAGCCAGTGCCTCTGCCAAGTGATTTCAGGCACCAGGGAGGAGAATAGAATGAGCAGCATCAAGGCAGATGCTGTGATCAGGACTGGTTAGAGCTATTTTATTCTAATTTTAGTCAGAAAGAAAATGGTTCCATAATAGATTAAAATAAAACACTTATTTTGCACCAGAGAGAAGAGAGAAAAGTACATGACTCAGGGAGAATGTGTACATGACTTCCTCCCAAAGGCTTTATCTTGAAATAGTGTTCTGAGCTACCGTTTTTTACAGTCCAGATATGTGAGTAACAGAGAAAGCTAAAGATATTCCACCCAGTGAGGCTTCAGCCAGATAACTAAAGATCTTAGAAACAGGCTTAAAATACCAGACAGGTTACACAAACATCTCCTTTAAAAAATGTATGAATTTAATACTTTTACAGCAGTCCCCTTTATCTACAGTTTCTCTTTCCTCAGCTTCAGTTACCTGTGGTCAACCTCAGTCTGAAAATATTAAATGGAAAATTCCAGAAGTAAACAATTCATCAGTTTAAAATTGTGTGCTGTTCTGAGTAGCATGATGAAATCTTGTGCCATCCAGCTTTGTACCACCTGGGACATGAAGCATCCCTTTATCTGTGCTTCCCGCTGGCTTGATGATCAGATCAACTTTCATGATATCACAGTGCTTCTGTTCAAGTAACCCTTATTTCATTTGGTTTTATTTTTAGCTATTGTTGTTAATCTCTTACAGTGCCTAATGTATAAATTAAACTTTATCGTAGGTGTGGTTGTGTAGAAAAAAAGATAGTATATATAGGATTTGGTACTATCCATGGTTTCAGACATCTACTGGGGGTCTGGGAACAGACCCCCACAGATAAGGGGGACAGTTGTGTTTATCTGAGAGCTGCCTAAACTAGCCGAGGACAAAGGAGATGCTCTTCTGCCATGTCGTGCCAGGATCCCGTGTGGGTTCAGATACCTCAGATTCAGCGTTGACTGTAGCACTAAGTCCCTGTGCATGCCATGGATCATTGGAGAGTGAGATTCACCACCCTGCTCACAAATGAAAGCATCCCAGAGGTTTCTTCATGCACCATCAAATGGCTGGTCCACTTGGACATGGGTACCATGGAATGAGCAATAATTTCTGGCAGAGTTCCTGCCACTGCCTCAGTTTCTTTTTCATCTACTTCAGTCACTGCTCTATGTAAAGCCTGGCAAAGGAAGTAATGTGGAAGACCATTTATTTGGCAGTGGAGGAGGAATTTAATTGAGCCCCTTGAAATTCTTCACAGTGGTCCTACCCACAAGGCCGTGCTTCTGGGATTTAGTGGCACGAGGCCCATCTACATTAAGAAGGATGGTCTGGGCTTGCACCCAGGACTGCCACAGGAGTCTAAAAGATACCAGGAGACCTCAGGGGAATCCTGTCTGCAATATTGTGGAATATGTGAAATTCATTCTGGGCATGGATTTAGGGACTCTCTGGCCAGCCAATTCATGCACACATGTCAAATAAATATTTATTGAGTATATACTCTATGCTACTGATTCCTGGGCTGAGCTGGTACTCCTAACAAGTTTTCAAGCTGCTTGGATCATTTAAGGACCTTGACTTTCCTTCTGGCAGGCAAGGTGGGGGCTTGGTGGTTAGTCTTCTGTAGAAGCTTCCCAGCACTGGTGCTGCTCTGAGGCATTTCCTGGGGCAAGCCCAGGGGTCCCTGAAGCCTTCCTGAACTCTGGCTGCCTCTATTCCAGCTGTCTGCTGTGTCTGGGAGGTCGTTTTGTCCAGGAACCAAATGTGACATGAGTGATGTATCTATATAATTACTGTATTATAGGAGTAACATCAGTGTAATAAATACCCAGCAACTCTCTAATTTCCTGGAGTGAAAATTGACTCTCCAGAGAAGAGGGGAATATTCAATGGTTTACAATTTAAACTTCATGAGGATGTTTTGTAAAACAGCAGCCTATTTCTTCAATTTTTTTATGTGTTCACAGCAGAAACTCTTTCAGGTACTGGTCTGCAGGACTGTTAGTTTTAATTGTTTTACCTTCCCTGAGATGGTGAGGCCTGATCACAGGCCAAGGTCACCCTATTGGGTCCACTTAAGTGGATGTCATTTTTAATCTCTCTTGGAATTGAAAATGGTCATTGTATGGGAAAATATTAACCAAACCCCATAGCTAAAGGAGAATAGTGAGATGTAGCTGCCATTTGGAAATGTGTGGAACATTTTTATAACAATGACTGGGGATTACTACTGGCATTAGTGAACATGGGTCAGGAATGCTGACCAAGTTCCCTGCCATGCACAGAACTGCTCTGGACAACAGACAATTATTCTCCTCCAGACCACGAATACTTCCATTGAGAAAACTGATTAGCTCAAAGGATTCTATCTGGGAGGTGACTAAACTTGTTCTTAGTAGTTTTAAAGATAGAACTAGGACCAAAAACTATGAGTTAGGGAGAAGTTACAGGTCAATATATTAAAAAATAAACGATTTTAGCCATCTGTGGACTGGGCTACTTTTCATAGAAGTGGTGAGTTCCCTGTCACTAGAAGCATTGAGAGAGAAGAGAGATTGATTGGAGGGCTGCTTTGTAGGGAATTATAGGGGGGATTTCCACAAGGAATGGGAAATTGGGCTAGATGATGTCTCAGGGTTTCTTTCATCCTAAAGGTGGTGTAATTTCATGGACTTTTCAAGTTATATTCAACATAGATGATGAATCTGTAAGGCAGTTTCATTTCAGGGGCAAATTTCTCCTTGAACATTAGGAGATCAGAGGGAGAAAATTCTACTTAAGAGAAATTAGTTGAAAATATGTTATAATAAAGTAGCTTAAAATTCTTAAAACATCCAACTTGAGTGGTATTTCAAGTCTTTGGAATTTAAATCAAATTTTCTACTACAACTAGGTATTTTATCAAAGTTTAAATGGTTTATAAAAATATTTTGTTTGTTTTGATGACATTTTGTACTTAGAGTTAGGCTCTAGTGAAAGACCCTGGTTTACTTTGGCTTCTTGAAGACTCTTGCAGTAGCTGAGAGCTCACTAAGGCCGGCCCTGGGTGAGAAAATTCTTCTGATTCTCCTCTGTTTAAGCAGCTCTTGCATCTCATATTCTCCATTTAGCTTAACCTTTGGAAAGAAAACTTTCATTTTTCTGTGGTACCAGTGCAGGCAATGATAAAATGTAGACAAAGCCATAGTCTATGCACACTAAAAAGGTCACACTTTCCTTTTTTCCCTCTTCCAAGATTATTTCCATCAATGAGTCTTTTGTAATGGTCTATCTCAGGGAAAATTTCTGCCTTATCAAATATTATTTCAGCTTTAGTGAACTGGTTTTATTTCTCAGCCAATGACTCATCCCACATTCTCTTTAGCAAGGAATGCCTATGTGCCCATTTCCCTGTGTGTTTTTTTGTTTTGTTTTTTTAGAGACAGAGTCTCACTCTCTCACTCAGGCTAGAGTGCTGTGGCATCGGCCTATCTCACAGCAACCTCAAACTCTTGGACTCAAGCGATCCTCCTGCCTCAGCCTCCCAAGTAGCTGGGACTACAGACACATGCCACCATGCCCGGCTAATTTTTTCTATATATTTTTAGTTGTCCAATTAATTTCTTTCTATTTTTCATAGAGACAGGGTCTCACTCTTGCTCAGGCTGATTTCGAACTCCTGACCTTGAGCGATCCACCCGCCTCGGCCTCCCAGAGTGCTAGGATTACAGGTGTGAGCCACCACACCCAGCCTTCCCTGTGTTTTAAAAACAACCCAAATTAATCCAATAGCTGCTTCTAGCAGTCCCACAGACTCCTGGGTGGTGGCTGTCTTCATTGCCGAGATTCTACAGCTCCTAGTGCTTCCAGGAGGATTCTCCAGGGGTCTGGGATGGCCAGGGAGGGGCAAAGAGCACTTTCAACACTCTACCCATCTTTAGCTAGAGAAACTCTGATAGTATCTATTTTATATATTGGAGTTCTCCTTTGAAAATATGCTGTTTGGAAAAATGAGTTCTGTGGCTCCAAAAAAACGTGTGAAAACTATTAATTGATACTAAACTAGTCTTAAAGAATTTCCAATTTTGCAGGATTGTTCAGAGGAATAATATATATTAAGTACCCAGAACAATGGTGTTATAGTAGGGGCTTAAATGTTAATTCCCACATGGTCACTATATCTCCCTCATTCTCTCCCAGTTGCAGATTGGTCCAGACTCTCAGACTGGAATATAATTGAAGACATGATTTATCTGGAAGGTTAATTTATAAATTTATTTATTCAACAAACATTTTTTGAGGGCTTTTTAGGTTTGAGGTTCTTTGCTTCAAAAAAAAAAAATCTAAAGATTTGAAGAAACAGGAAAGAAGAATGATGAAGATGAAACCAGGGATCTTTAGCTGTACTCAACTCTGTGTCAAATTTTAGGTTGATAAGCTTCAGAAGGCATGGCTGTGGTATTCTTACAGCTGTCTTCCCTGTACCCCAGTAGGTGGACTGATCTGTTGGACAAATGAGAGCCTACTCTGTGCTTCCAACTTTTCTCCCTCTGCACAGCCCCCTTCGTAGGCAAGCTCATCCTGTCTCATGGTTCTCAATTCTGGTTATATGCTAATAAGTCTTAAATTTATATTAATATCTCCAGCCTGGCCCTGGCCCTAGACTCCAGATCCAGCTGCCTTCTTGACATCTCCACTTAGATTTTAATAGATATTTCTGATCTGAATGTTTAAGACTGAACTTTTGAAGCTACTCCCAGACCTGTTCCTTCCACATTCTTCCCATTTCAGTACATGGGAAATGCATCCTTCCAGTTGCTAAGGCCAAAAACTTTGCAATCACCCTTGACTCCCCTCTCTCCCTCTCTCTCACCCACTTATTAGCGAATCCTGCCAACTCTTGCAGAATCTAACACTTTTAATCACTTCCACTGCCACCACCGTAGTCCAGGCAGCAGCATTTCCATTTGGATTATTTGTATGTTAATTCCATACCCTGATATCCTGCAAAATTCTTTTATTGTTTGGGTTTGCGTTATCCTTTGATTTGCAGGTTTATTTTTCTATATGGACTTTGGTATCATCTTGTTTAGTTATATAGTTATGCAATATTTTACCATGTCATCTGCACATAGAGATAGTTGTACTTTATTTTATTCCAATTCTTATGCCTCTGTTCTCTTTTATCTAATTGCATTGTTTAATACCCCCAGTACAGTGTGAAATGGTAGTGGATTTAACAAGCAGCCTTGTCTTACTCTTGTCTTAGTGGAAATGCATTTAGAGTTTTCCTATTAAATAAGATGCTAGTTTTAGGAATCAGGTGTGTGTGTATGTGTGTGTGTGTGTGTGTGTGTATAAATATGTACTTATATTTAAGCAATTATCCTTAAATTCCAGTTTCTCAAGGTACATTCCATGTCTCTCTCTTTTAATCTGATTATTTAGTTATTTGTTTCATTGTTACGGTTTTTGGCCTGAACCAGGGAGAGGAAGCCTCATTCTCCTGAAGTGTCTCTCTAGCACCCTCTACTGATGAAGTTAACATGCTTGGCTGACAAAGCAAAATTACTGAAAAGGTCCAGAACCATTTTTGCAAAGCAGCAAGAAAGGGAGGATTTGGAGCTGAGAAGCAGTAAGTTGACAACTAACATACCAAAATGCATTGGCATTATTTTTGCTTTAGTCAGTTATTTTAAAGATATTTTATATTTTTTAACCCATATTTACCCTATCCAATAGGTCCAAGTTTCCATCTGGAATCCTCTTCTTTTTGCCTAAAGAATTACTTTTTAAAATTCTTGAGTGAAGGTGATAAATTTTCTCAGCTTTTATTTGTCTGAAAAAAAAATCTTTACTTTGCCTTTATTTTTGAAGGATTGTTTTTGCTTTTTTTTCTTTTGGGGAGGTATTATGATATTCCCCTCCTCCCCAACTTTAAAGGTGTCATACCATTGTGTTATAGGTTTTATGAATTCTTCTTTTTTAACTTTCTATTTAGACTTCAAACTTAACAAAAATTTGCAAAAACAGTGGCGTTTCCACATACCCTTCATCCAGGTCTTACTAATATGAACATATCACACAACCACAGAACAATGGTCAAGACCAGGGAAATGCAGTGATATTATAAT